CCTTCCTTATAGGACTCCACGAGGAAGCCTCCTCTGTATCCATCGTTTACAGCCTGCCCACTTGCAGGCACCGTCTCAGCGTCGACAAGGAACCTCCGGTAGCGAGCTCGTCTGTTAGAACCCTGAGAGGAAGTCCCAAATGGTCCTGAGCATCGGCAGGCAGCTTATTACCGCATCATTTTAATTAAATCATCCTTCACCGATTCTTTCAAGTTCTTGTTGTCAGCAACCTCAGCCATAAAGACCTATAGCGGCAGAAACATATCCATACAATTGTACTAGTCACACTCTTTTACCGTTTCCCACGGAGCATCCTCCGAGCTGGCGTTAATCACTGTAGTGAGCACCTTCTGAGGAGCACGACTTGTCTTTTTCGGGGAAGGAACGAATTTGGACTGTAATACAGGGAACAATACTCATTGTTCGTGGCCATCAACAACCTACAGTCTCCCTCGATGTGGTGGAAGGACCGGCGGGCTTCTTGCGCTGCGGTCTCCTTCCAAATCGAGAGTAAGAGTTTAGACTGGACATATGCACTCGCATGATCCGCCCTGCCAGCCTTTTGAGTTCCTCATTCTCATCTGGGTCGCTTGGAAGATCGCCAAAATCGTTATCAGGGTCAGAATCAGAATCATACTGAGATCCTGAAGTGTTATGACTATGCCATCTCTCTCTGGTGCAGTAAGGTTGTTACCCAGTGAGAATGCTGATGTATCCGCTCTGGTAGTAGAAGAGGTTCTACTAGTATTTAATTGCACTTGAGATGAAGAACTGCCCTCGCTGTTCTTCCGACCATCGATCCTACGCAGTGGTGGGTGCCGATTCGTTAGAGAGAAACGCACGGCAAAGAATATTTCGCGGCGTGCTACGCTCCTATGAGTCTTCAGTCAGAGACTATCTCTGTGCTTCTATGATAAGTTAAAATAAGAATATTCGTATTCATGAGAGGTCTTTGAGAATTCGCAATTCCCCTAGGCATCCGAGAATGCCTTGAGTCGACGTTAACTCACTTATCATTATGATGGCCACTTGTTCCTTGCCAATTATCATCATCGATGTCGTCATTACCAGCATACTTAGCTCTCTCCTTACGAGCCCTCTCGATCTCTTCAGTCTCTGCCTTACTTATCTTCTTATTCCATGCTCTCAAGTTCTTCTTGATCAACTTGATCTACATATTCCCACAGTACACTGTTACATTGAATGCCGGCAGCAGCCCACCTTCCTCTGGAAGTTCCGCTCCTTCTTATGCCTCCTACTGGCCGTAATAATGCCCGTGCATTGTTGGTCACGTCGTCGCTCCCGTTCGGAGTCGTATTGCGTATTAGTATCAGAAGATGACGATTCCGTATCGTACCTTTCATCATCAGCATACATGCACACGTGCCTAATATACCCGTCGGACATCTGATACCTCTGAGCCTCCAGTTGTTCATCCTCGTCAGTTTCTGCCTCATCAGGCGGGTCTTCACAGGATAGCGGCTTCCACTGCTTAGGATAGTCAGTAAACCATCACCGATGGCCAACCTACCATAGGCTTCACGCCCCCCTCCACTCGCTGCTGCAACAGCCCACAATGGAACTCTGGTGGAGTCTCGTTATCAACTCCATGATGTTTGGCGATGTAGTAAGGCGCACGACGATACTTCCTTGAGTAACGAGCATCAGGAAAGTAGCTGGTACGGGTAGTAGACCTACCCGCATCGGTCGCAGCGTATCCACCAATAATGCTTATATCCCTGCTTAGTGTCAGCCTTTTGATTCTGGAGGTGACGTTTATGTACTCGAGCGAATATTTCCGTACTGAGATGAAGATGGAATACTGCGGCTAGTCTCAGTCACGATGACAGCTAGCCTACCGCTGCTCATAGTCAGAGAAGGCAGTTACAACATGGCACATTTCAGCCGCCAAGACCCGTGTCTTCTCCCAGGATACGCCCGTGATACGATGGAACATCTTCACAGGGCCGTCGTCCAAGGCGGTGGCGGCGGCGGTCCCAGTGTCGCTGCGAGAGGATGAGTCAGTTTCTTTCAGGTCCTCAGTAGGCCGTGAGGAGGACGAAGATCCACCGCTCGAGTTGGCCCTATGGTACAGCAGAATAGACCCCACACACGATGCTCGAACTCACCTGCATTGATCATCTACATCATCACCAACTACCAGCAGGCTGCCAGCTATCAAGGAGCTAAGGAAGAGGTGCCGGTCCCGTTTGGTGGACTGTCGAACATCGAGGATCAATGCCGGACCTACAATCGGACATTGAGATAGAAAGATGCTCGCGGAGTTGGGATGTGTCTCATCACCTCTCTTCCTAGCGAGCCTTTGAAAGCATTTCCCAACCATTTCGATATCAGCTTCTAATAACGGGGGAATCCTAATCGAATAAGAATCCCCGCTGAGAGGCGTTCTGCTGACTGCTGACCTCGGACGGAGACACAGAGTAGAGGACCAGTTCGTCTCGATGTCCGATATCAGTCTATCCACGCACTTCCTCCTCCTCTTAAGGTTCTGTTCGAATACATCTGGCCAATGTACGGCAGCCCTGCATAAAGACCAAATTGATTTTGATTTCGAGGCAATGATGTCGTCACCAATCCTGTGCTTCAATCTCGTCGCTGGCCATAGCCTCATCTGCCTTAGCCCGTTCCCACAGCTCCCTAGCATGCTCATCTGCTGTACTCGCCGAGGTGGACACAGATAAAGGGCTGAACTCGATGCTTTTACCAGGTGCATCTACACGATGGGCAACACAGTAGGTTGATGATGTCGATTATCGGAGGCTTACATCGAGTCCTCGCATCCGGAGGGAGTTCCAAAGTGGCAGCATCTGAGGAGGGACCTTCGAGGGGGTGAAAGACCGCCTCCACGGTACTTACTTATTGGGTCGGCTCTTGTGGCGGCACCCTGGTCAGTTGCTGTATTAACAATGGAGAGGAGGTCTATCAAGAATGTGTCCAATGTAAGTAATGTAGGAAGTGGAGCCCACCAGATGTTGCAGCTCTATCATCTTCCAAATCATCATCAAGTAATACCACACCATTCTCATCCTCGTTGTACATGGCCGTACCTCCCCATGGCGCCTCTACTGCTACACCTCCCTCCACAGCATCTGACAGGGTCACGATAGAAAGGAGCTACGATAGTGAATGTTGCTACTACTTCTACTACTACTACTACTACTACTACTACTACTACTACTACTACTACTACTACTACTACCGAGATCAACGACTGCGACGGACTCTATGATTTCGATATCACTATCATAACCGTCGTCAACAGAGTCGGATAATGATATGACCTCCTAAGGTGAGCAACAACGTTTATTATCCGCCTCCCTCTAACATACACCTACGACTCCCTTCTCGTCATCTCGAAGGGCCCCGTCATAGTCTGGCTCTTCCTCCTCCTCCCCATTGGAATCCATGGGTCCGGATAAAGGCTCAGCCTTGACTACTGCCATTTGAGCCTCTCCTGCAGCCGGCTCTTCCTTCACAGCCCTTTCTGTAGTTTCCGGCTCTTCCTTGATAAGAGTCTGCTGCCAATCGATCAGGACATACGAACCATGCTTACTGCTGCTTACCTCTCCAGGGCTCCACCACCTCCACAAGAGTCGATCGTCGCTCAGCTGTCTGAAAGTGGTTTGACAGTCCTTCGAGGTCAACAGGCTGGAGATAACTTACAAAGCTAGCCAGTGAACAGTGGTAGGTACAGCAGCAATGATGTCGATCCCCGAAGGACGCTTCAATGACGCTATTGTACGGCTCTTAGGCCTTGCACCTAGATGTAAGGTAAACATGTGAAAGTGTGGATACAACGTACGTTTGATGCCCTCTATGTCCGAATACATGTCGAAGTAGACATAGTTATTCTTCCATAGAACAGCGAAGCCTTCACCACCAAAATGAGGTAAGAGAGCTCCAGAGGAGAGCAGTCGGGAGAAGTTCTGCCCAGAAGCCTCCATCACTTTACGTAGATCCACTTGTTGTAGTACTTCAACACCGTGACGGGCTGAATATGTTAGGAGTGAGCCGAGGGATAGGTTCACCTACCCACCTTCTGCAATGAAGACCACGATTCGAGGTCGTGAGCGCTCTAGGAGTATCCCGGTCATGTCATCAGTAAGGAGGGCCAGCTCGGCACCTTCTGGGCCAGGACCATTCTTTAGAGCAGTTACCTCAGTAGATATGCTGGGGCCTAGGAGGTGCTGATGGAGCAGTCTGCCGTTCTTGGTTAGGACGACCATGAATCGTGCACATCTGAATGAAGGCAAATAACGAAGCCTCACCGCGGTAAGCGAACTACGTAGAGTCTGCAACTACGGCGACAGGGCTACTCCTGTGTCCACGAGGGGCTATGGACTTGAGTTGATGGTATCGCTGGTCAGCGTATACGTAGACGTATATAGTAGTCAGTGGACGGAAGAATACACCTCTCCTGCGTGCCTTCACTCGCTCGTATATCGTAGTAGCGGCAACCATACCAGAGGAGCTTGCACGCACATACATACAAGATGCACCAGGGATGGCTAGAGAATCGATAACCTACATAATAGAATGGCAATGAATCAGGATGGGTATACAATGCTTCTACGACCTTTCCTGTGCCGCAGTCCCAGCCAAGTACGGCATCTGCGTTATATGTCTGGCTGTGACGGGCATTCTTTGAGTCCGGGTCGAAACCTGTAGAAGGAGTGATCCATAGGAGTACAGGTGGTGTACTACTTACCGGAGTCGTATCCTAGAAATAGATAGGTAGGCTCTGATTCATCATCATCCTCCACCACGGAAGCGTGGGTTATCTTTGTATTGAGGGAGCTGTATGGATGCTGTACGACACATACTGGAGTGTCATCATTGGGTCGGAAGAGGGAGGCAAGATCCGGTGCATAGGGATCAGGACGAAGGACGAATGGGGAGTTCGTTGATAGGATCGATGGTTGGGGAAGGGGCACTCCAGTACTCTCGTATGCGGCATTATCATCATCATCTTCTTCATCGCTGTGTATTGGCGAGTAGCACAGCGACATTCAAGGAACCTCTAGATGAGGTGGGGAAAGGTCATAAGACAAGCACTAACCGGGTAACAGGATCGAACGCGGGCACCGGAACCCGAAGAGGATCGGGGGCCTCCTATCACAACAACGAGTTGCCCTCGTGATGACAATGACCGACACACTCCCCAATGAAATAGGGCCAATCTGCCCGACTCACATTTTGCACTAACTCGACCTGAGCAATGATGGAAAGCCAGCATGAATGCTGGAAATGCTGACAAGACACTGGGTTCATGGTACACGGAAATCCACCAAACCTGCCACTGTAGAGTAGCGGCAGCCCTTTCGAGGTATATACCCTTTGGTGGACGATACCTCAAGACCATCCAGTCGTAGGCCGCTGATACACCATCCTCGGACAGTGAACCCCACCTGAGCTCTGAAGAGCACGTATGTGGGAGCATACTCTGCTATGAGAAGTACATGCATCGTTGCTCACTGGCCATAGCCGCCGCCAGAGCTGCGTCATGAGCATCATACGATAGTTTACCACTAGCGACCACGATGGTGTCCTGAGGCGACACTGAGTGGCCATGGGTCCGAGGACAGGAAGGGCACCTCCCCGCTGGTAGCGTTAGATGCAAGTTGCCCTACGTGCCAGATGAGCACGGTACCACCGTCGGAAGCCGTATCGAGACGGATGGATGGTGAGGCCTGATGACAAGGCATGCTGCCCAAGACGGACGATGGTCTTGTGTATTCACCTTGCCATCAATATGGCTCTTCACAGTGGTTTGCAAGCTACCAGAGGCTATACACGTTGGGAGTAGGATACTCACAACGACATCATCAACAACTATACTTGGGGGACGATGATTCTGCATCCTACCTGATTACACTACTACTGCTGCAGCGATGCATGCTCCAGCCGCGGTACTCACCAGAATGCCTATTAAGACCTGCTTTGGAGCTCAGAACAGCCGATACTCGTGGTCGAGCTGTGAAGTCTATATGGCCGCCTCCTCTATCGAATGAAACCTATGAGAGATCCCCATCAGTGAGGAGCATAAAGGCGGACAAGGTGCTGCCTTGAGATCGAGCTGTAAGGGCAGTAGACGAGTTGAGGGATCGGGTAGTATTGGGATGTAGTAGGTGCAGAGGGAGTATTGCCCATCAGCAGGGATGAATGACATCTTCTGTTCCGCATGCCATCTCTCTACATCGACACTTGGATGGAATTGGACCTTGCCTGTGGTGAACATGATGGTGGCAGTGAATGCGTGGTAGCATACCGTTAGAAAGGAGATGAGGGTTGCGGACTGTGAGGAGTGCGTGAGGGCAAGGACCACTGAGTCGGGATATCACTGATATATCCCCGGTCTGTGATACATGCAGTAGATGGATGTAGCATCGTTACTACTCCTACTACCACATCAGCACCCAGGATAGTCCCCTGCTCATCTACTATACAATTGATAGTCTCTACTACATCCATATAGAGTTCGTTGTTAGTGTAGCTAGGAGCGGTGGGACGCCACCAATACTGGCCACCTGTCATGGGTCGCTGTGGTGTTATCGATGCATGATGTATGTCGGCCATGGTCACCTATGTCGATTGTAGCTTCCTTCTGAGCGACTTGGGCTAATGCACCCGATGATACAGCCATAGCGTTGGTGACTCCAGTCATCATAGTGGATACAGCAGAAGTAAGGAAGTTAGGAGCAGGAGAGCCCGAGGGTGCTGACACTGAACATCACGACGAGACCAGTATATAGATGGGCAGCGTAACGTTTTTTTACGGTTTACGTTACGACGTGCGTAACGTAAGCAGTTTACGGTTACGGAAAGGCCTTACGACTTTACGGTTGGTGCTGAACTACTTTTTCAGAATTGTGGCAAAGAGGTTCACTGCAATGCACTCTACGATAGCTCAAATAGTTGTTAAACTCGTTCCTTGTGGCTCGGATCCAACCGAACCGATGAGAGAGTAACATTTGGTTTCGCATTTACCACTCGCCTCCTTTGCAAATTCCGTCCGTCTTACTCCCAGGCTGGCCCGGAACTGCCAAGCCGGCCTCATCCACGGATTCGCATTCACATGAAATAGATTTAGGCGACATGAATGATCAATCCTCGTTTTGTCCTCTGTGTCTCCGTAAGACCCGTTACGGCGCCGTAATTTTACGGTATGGAGCTTGAAGCGTAACCGTAAAAGTAAACCGTAACGACCCGTAACGTAATTCTGCCCATCTATAGACCAGTAAAGTAGGGGAACTTACGAACACCAAGACTAAGGTTAGCAGAAGGGAGTGCTACGGCCTGTTGACGATCAGTGGCCATCTTGGCCGACGTCCCTGCTACTGCTGCGATGAACTTGCCTAGCATTGTAGGAGGTGGTAGCATCGCCTATAGAGGTTCTATCGGAGGGACTAAGGGCTTGGAGACTACCTCCAGAGTTGCCTTATGAGTCGAGAAGGGTAGGCCGGGACCATCAATCATCTCATCCAAGAGCATGGCCACGGTACTGAAGTTGTCACGCAAGAGATCCTCATCTACCCCAGCATGAGGAAGATCTGTAGTAGAGTTCCCAACTACACCATGATCAAGAGTGGACCAAACCTGCAGTAGCCTTAGTCGATGCTGCTGAGCAGTAGTGTAGTAAGGTCGAGTAGACCGAGTCTAGCAATTCGAATATGAGTAGAGGGGACGTATCAGAACCTCGAGATGGTCCAACAAGATGGCGGGGACATATGATGTACATTTGCATGGATACTACTAACTATGGCTGCCAGGTAAATGTACTCCCTGTATATGTAGATCAATGCAGATGTGCAGTTGATACGACTCTGATAACCGCGAATTGTGGTATAAGTACTCTCAACCGAGTACTTTAGGCACTATGCCGTAGAGGCTTGTTGGAGTCTTATCCCGTCTGGTGAACAGTGCATGGAGCAGTTTCCTGTATCCTCTCAGTGAATGGTGACGACGACACACCTTCGATGTGATCTCCTCACTGAGAAGAAGTTACTTTCGCTCAGTTGAGGGTATTCACTCATACCCATATAGATTCAGCAGGAACAAGCAGTCGATCATTGCCAACAAAGACTCTGAGATAGAGAGGAAGTCGACCACTCAGCTGAGGTCATCACGATGGACCCCCTCATACTCTCCTTCGATGCTATATTACTCCAACACAACAGTAATGTCAATTGGTACAACGAGTGACGCTAAGTCCCAGATAACGTATGAAGATCATGCTTTGTATAGACTAGGTCTACTGTTAACTGATCGCCTCCCAGCACCCACCTTACCAAACGGCTTGAACGCACCGGACTTTCTCTTTAACACTGGCTTTCCCTCTATAGACTGAGGTCTAGGAGCCATGAATCCTCCTATTATACCATCAAGTAGCTTCCTCTGACCAGGTTTAAGAGTGCTCTTCCTGCCAACTTCCAACTTCACAGATTTACGGAATCCTCGCTGTTCTCGAGTAGCAACCTCCTCTGTTGCAGCCGTACTTAGCCGTATCTCGACCGCTATATCATCCTGTTGTTGACGGTATAGTTGCACATCCCGCAGACTACCCCGAGCCACTGATGGAGAATCCACAGCTTGCTCTGAGGTCCGATCTCCTTCAGTAACTTCCATGTTGCTAGCGACAACAACACCTTCTGATCCATCGAGAGTAGTATTGGATAACAGCCAGCGGGAGATGCTCGTCCTCTCCTGGTGTGGCACACCTCCTTCCGAGTCACCCTCTGCAGCATCGATCCTGACGCTCATTTGAGTATTCAGTCGAGCCAACCCAGCAACTCCCTCGCCATCTGATGGCGTAGTAGCAGCATTCTGAGCCTCCCCCTTCTGCGGCGACGGCTCAGTCGATTCAGAATGAACACTGGCTTGCCTCTCAAAGTAACTGGCTCCGACCTTTGGCAGAGCTCTGCCGTCGCCCTCTATCTCATCCTCCTTTACGGTCTCCATCAGGTCAGATTGGTGTAGTGTTAACTTCGTATACCATCGTAGTATGTCATCCAAGCATACTCGCCCATCATGGTCTGCATCGATAACATGGAACCATTCCGGAGCTAGAGAGTCCACTATGTTGGGATTTGTCGCACTCTCGAGAACACACCTCTTGCACATCGCATGGTACCGCTCCTTCCCGATCGTCTTAGATCCATCTGCTACTACACTAGTAAATGAAATGGAGATGATCCTCGCAACAGTGGGATCGATACTCCATCTCCGAGACACTTTAAGACACTGCCTCTTCTCATTGGCCAATCTCTCCTGAAAGATGAACATCATACCACAAGCTTCCGACTGTTAAGATTACTCTCTTCTTCTCAACCACTGGGGTAATACCGCTCTCGCTACTAGTCGATGGCATCACAGGACGATAGGTAGGATAGTACCAGCCCTTAGCTCCCAAGATACTCCAATTCTCCTCGTGTGGCGATACACCGGGTTCAACGGAAAAACGGGCATGATAAGGTGGATCATTGCTGGCAGCGGGAGAATCTGGATTTTCCCTGACTGCTACCAACTTAAATGGACTAGGCGAACGCCCTGAGCATTACAAGACACGTTGAGCCATTTCATCATAAGCATCATGCAAGCCTTGACACACCTGATCTCCGGGATCCTAGTCTGGCTACAACGTGCCGCATCCCCTGCACCAACCGGTCACGCTGACGATGTACCTAGTCGAACTATACTCACGAACAGCAGTAGACTCTAGCATGGACAGGAGGTATGCTGAGGAGCAGTCTCAAGCACCACCTCAGCCTCAATCAGTGCTATCGCCTCCGAGCTCATCCTCTTAAGATGGCCCTCATCTAAAGGGCCACCGACATTAAAATTAGCCCAATTCGGCCACGTCTCGAATGCTGATACTCCACCGCAACGCTTGAGTTGGGCAATAAACTTCCGAGCTCTGAGAGAGAGACGATGGATGATGATTTGGCTGACGAGATCCTATCCTACCGTATACGAACCCTCCGTACTGACTTCTCCAATAACGCCATGACCGGTGTAGGATTGGTGTTTAGAGCTTTCCTGGTGAGAACTGCTCGAGGAGCACCCTCCCGACTCGAGCGCTGGAGTCGTTGGGATACATGTACATAGAACTCTATGAGCCTCATCATGGGAAGGTGATCGGGATGCAAATCTGACATGTAGTGGAGAGCGAACGACTTAGACACTAGTTCTTACTAGTGACGTATTTCAATCCATCGTGTACGAAGAAAATGCTAGACGCCGAACCAGGCTTCTCCCCTAGTTCGATATGAAAGTGCCATAATGAGCCTAGAGGCTCATCCAACCACTCCATTATGGCTGATATCACCACAGAGTCATCGTCATCATCACAATCTCGGCGTGGGTTTATGCTATTCACGGGTAAATCGAGAAACTGAGCGGAGACGTAGTGACCCCCGATCAGCATGGGCTCACGTTTCGAGCGTATGCCTCTGCTGTGATAGTGTCAGGCAAGCCCTTCAGGCCGGATGTGCGGCACAACCCACTGATATCGTTGATGCGGCTCAGCAGGATATGCTTCCGCTTGAGAGGGGACATACCACTCCTCGGGGGTATATAGGCTAGATCGATCCTCGAGGACCGACAAGGTGAAACTGAAAAGACGGTGCTCAGCAAAGACGGGTGGCGAGCTGCAGGCAGGCACCACGGGAGGCCTCCAGAATACTCACTTGCACGTGTGGAGGAGCTCACTCCGGGAGCGGTGAATGGCCGCTGGTGCTTCATCGTGGGTCCGGTGTCTCCGGATGCCAACTGCTTCCCTCGGGTCTTCCTGGTCACCATACTATCTTGTGATACTTTACCTGTAAAAGGAGTGGAAACAAAAGACAGAAGACATTTGATGGGTGTCGTGCATTAGTTGATCTAACGAAGTCGATACAACATACTCACGTTGAAGAGATCTCCGGCTAGGGTGCTGAGGCATTTCCTCAGATGCCAGATGAACCATTTGGATGGGCTCAAGGTACTTCCTGAGAGATACACTCTAGCTCTCCTTCACCGTAGAAGGCTGCTCTACGTGATAACTCATCGATATCAGAACTCCCTGGCCATCGTACTATCCCCGATTGAGCCAACACAGTACACAGAGTATAAAGTAAATATCACAAGTATATATAAGTAAGAGGGGTAGCATCATCATTGAGGATGCTGCTCCGCTGGTATTTGGCCGCTATCACCACCTTCCTTAGTCGAACCCTTTGGGGATACATCATCAATCTGCCTAACATTATTGCTTTGAGTAGGCTCATTCTCCACCGGGTCTCCATTGCCAGAGGACCGGCTATCGGTCTTCTTCTCCTTGTCCTCCTCCTGATCCCAGTTGAGTATGGCCTCCAACCCCTCAGCCGCCACAGGGAGTAACCTTATCACAGTATCGAGCAATTGGTGAGCAGTATCCGTGTCCCTCAAGTCAGGATCTGTTGCAGTAACCATGAGTAGGTTGCGGACACCTTGTATCAGTCCCTCATCACGATCAGCATCAGGGCACTTGCATACTGCCTCCACAAGGGACGGTATAGGATGACCCCATAAGCCTTGGGATTTGGATAGGTGATAGAGGACGACCCTTAGGGCCACCTTGCTGAGTGTAGGAGAGTGATATCGTTGTAATAGTGGTATAAATATATCACTGACAAGCTTGACCCAATACTGGGAGGGTATCTGACTCTGCGGGCCCTCCAATAGTAGGACACGAAGAGTGTTCTCAGCTCTACCAATCAACGGCTCGTGTTGAGTGCGTACGATAATGGTGGCAACAGAGGTCACAGTAGGAATCCACAGTGGAAGCCATTCTTCGAGTTCACCATGGGCTTGGGATATCACGGCTGGTAACAACGCTGAGAGCACATCCAAAGACTTACCCGCTAGAGATTCATCAAGCTGGCAAATAGAGAAGGCGCATAGTACTCTTGTGAGGGATATGTAGAGAAGGGATGATGCTGGGGAGAGACCAGACTCAGCAAGATGAGACACACACTGCATGGCAAAGTTGAAGGAGACTGCTGATGTCGATGGGCACTCGGCTATGGCTTGCAGTAAAGCAAGGATGGCACTGAGCGTCTTCTCATCGGGTTGCCGTTGACGCACCAACAGAAGCAATCCACTTGCTGCCCTCTCGGCTACTCTAGCGAAAACATTCTTGGGGAGAGAGGCTAAACTGAGTAGCAGGCTTCGCACTGATGGCAGACCATCGTCGACTTCTATCAGTCTTATGGAGATCCTCATAGCATTCACTGCAACCCTCTCCAAGAAGGCAGGGTTCTCAAGAGCCTTTTCTGGGAGTTCATGAGCATACTGTAGTAAGGAGAGAAGATGAGGAGCAGCTACTTCACGACAGAGGTTAGGTTCGGTACTCGACACATACACCGATGTGGTTACCATCGTAAGGATCTCCAGATTCATAACAGGATCACCAACCCTACGCCATTGAGACCAAGGTTTCCAGGAGTCCCCAGGGGGATCCTGCTCGGGTACCCATGATGCTTCCTTGCATAGAACGGTGACTAGAGCCTTGAGGCTGGGCATACCCAGTACTCTTATACGGTCAGCAGAGAAACAATCTGCTAATCTCACAGGATCCATCACCAATTGCTTCTTGAGATGCTGCTCGACATTATCAACACCTTCGGGTGTAGCACTATGAGGAGCTGATAAGACAGCCTCTAGAGGCAATATCTGGGATAGGTTAGACTCAGCCTTCTTGAGTGATGCAGTGGGTGAGAGGGGCTCATTATCATCATCATCCTCACTATCCGAGTCGCTGATACCACCAAAGTAGCTCGATAGAACGGCCAGGAAGCCACTATTGTTAGCAACATCCCCGCTCTGAGAGTGAGTACGTGAGGACCGCAATAATGGAGCCATCCCTGGGGGCTGGAAGGCTCGAGGAGCGATAGACACCAAAGGCTTCCCATGGGAGTCGACAAAGTCCTCTAGCTCGGATAAACTATCCGGTAGCAAGCCAAGTGCCCAGAGACCGGCGAGCCAACCCATCATAGCCCTCCAACCATTGGACTGTAGGAGGAAGCCGTATTCCCTGAGCCACATGCCTAGGGTCTGGGCTGCTAATTGGAAACGGACAGTCAATGGTGGAGAGAAGAAGTCGCCGAGACGGCATACGATCTTGTTAAAGGCATCAGCATGACGAAGTAATGCGGCCGCCCTTGCTAGGTCTATCCAACCCGCTAGGGAGACCTGGAAGGCATCTGCAGTGGCGAAGGATCTCGATAGGCTATCCAAGATATCACCATCATTCCACACCACCTTAAACATAGCTTTATCATGAGCTAGAGACCAACTACCACCAGTAGCCAGTGAGAACTCTCCCACTTCATACGACTTCCGCATGAGGTTATCCCACTCCCTCTGGTCTACCACCTTCTCAGCTCCTGGTACCGAGTCGAAGAGACGTATCTCCTCATCATATATGGAGTTGTATATATCAGTAAGGAAGTCCGAGTCGAGATCTCTACCAGCGTCAATGCCTCTATTGTTCCGCTTGAACTCATCCAGAGACATCTTATTCTTCACCATAGGGTTATGTAGATCGGTATTGAGCATGATCAAGGAGTAGCTGAGTATAAACACCGTATCAGAGGAGTGCATGATGACAGGATCTGTAGGATTGCCGTCAGCATCCATTTCACATTCCCTATATACCAGTCTGGCATCTGGACCCTCCTCAGACGCAGCTCGTTGCTGAGCCCCAAAGTAAGCGAGAGAGAACGATTCGACGATCCTCTCGATCTCCTGAGCCTCGCCAGGCAGTCGGAAGGTAGCCAACATTAGCCGGAGAGCCTCTACCACAGGCATACCAGCAAACTTGAAGGAGTGCATGAACTCCTTCCTGATCTCGCCATTGAAGTCCTGCCGTTTGGCTAGGAACTCCCCCAGTATCTTCATATCGAGGCCAGGGGTATGGCGACAGAAGTGTGCAAAGGCCTTAGCCGTGACGGGATCAGAGAGCAACCCTAATGACTGCAATGTAGGGACACACTTAGAAGGGCTAGAATTGAAGGCCTGAGCAGCTAGGGCCAAGCGACGCTTCTGCTCCTTCCTCAGCTCTAGTTTAGCCCCTTGCTGTACTGTATCATCCACATCCAAAGGCTGCGTATCCGTACGAGTTAGGAGTGGTAGATTGCCCTGTGTGGATAGCTCCTTAGACGCCTGCTCAGTACGGACTGCAATACCCCTGACTATAGCTAATAGACCATTCAATGCCATAGTAGAAAGGTTCTTCTTCCTCTCATTCTGCACCGCTGGTGATGATGCCTCTCCTACACCCTTATCCTCATCAGTAGCCGACTGAGTATCGGTAGCAACACTCATAAGGAGTTTGACCAACCTTTCGAAGAGGTTGGTGCAGTGGACATCACAATCATAGTTCTCGTATAGCTCTACCATAAGCTCAGGTTCTCTACAGAACTCCAGTAGGGACTCCAGAGCTAGCTCCCTCTGTTCCATTGATCTGCTCCCTGCTGCGGGCACCATCTTGAGGTGAATACTCGTAAAGAAGATCTCCAACTGGACCTTTAGATGCCTCTTGAAATGCTGAAAGAGATTGAAAACCGCCCTCAGTGTAGCCGACAGCACCCTGAGGCTCTCATTAGCAGTAGAGTTCATAAGAAGAGCCTTACAGATATCATTCTGTATAACAGATATCAAAGCCTCATGATTACACATATCAGCGCCACCAGTCTCAAGTGCCACATTTAGGAGGCTGAGGCCCAAGGACCTTGTCTCCTCCATAGCCTTCGATGTTTCAGAAGAGTCGGATGCCTTGAAGGGCCCTCCAAGTGATAGCCTACCACCCTCGTCAAAGAGATCCCTCATCTCGGCCTCAGGATCACTACTCCCGTAAGGTTCTGGACTGGGAGCTCTCAAATGACGATACTGCTGTGGTGGAGTCCCTCTCTGTGGCGTCCTTGAGCGCCCTGATGATGACGAATTGCTCAGTGGGATGTTGGCCGAGCTTCCCCTCTGACCCTCAGTCCCATTTATTGAGCCTGGGAAGCCAGCGGTCATAAGGAAGGCCATATACCGCAATAGACAATACCTTGCTGATACTGAGTACCCGTTACCACTACTACTACCACCACCACGCTGATTGAAGACCGTTAAAACTATAAGTGTGAGTTGTTGCTCAGCACTACTCCTGAGTAGATGGGATAGTCCCATAGGCTGTTTAGCGACCTGATGTATCTTCCTCACCATCTGCCACACACAAGCATCAGTCAATTGAGCTCCTGTAGGGCATCTCAAGGCATCCACAAGTACTGTTATCATCTTCAATAGTACCACCTCATCATCAGGTGTACCCTCAGCACCAAAGCGACAGTTGATAACACCAGCCACCAGAGTATTAATAGCCTTAGGGCCCATCTTGTCGGTGGGTATCAAACCAAAGGATACAAACTTATTAACACTATCTAGTGCTACTGCAGTAAGAGGGCCACTAGCATCCTCACTCTGGATGACATTCAAGAACGGCGCTAGATAGCGAACAGTATCGAACTCATTGAAGTCGTCAAGATAGGTAAGCTCATCGAATAAGGCTTGGAATTGTTTGATTGCTCCTTCACGGAATATAGCCGACCGATGGGACCAAGACCTCTCACTCTTCTCCAATTTTAATACAGTGAGTATATTATGTATCTCATTCTTCACACATTTGGCAGGGTACTTAGCTCCGACCCATACCGGAACCGATCCAATACCAGAGTATACTTGCGGAGGGCGGTGACGTCCACTATCCCTCTCCGGTGCACTATCAGTAGAGGGAGTAGATGACCCCTCACTAACAGCAGCCATTGATAAGGAAAAAACTGCGACCAACAACAGTGACGAGGTGCTCATCGAATACAAGACCATGATTATGATGATGATAAAGAAGTTATCATGCAGCGGGAGTTGATACGATGGAAGGTTGGTGGCGAGCCACCATCATATGTGATGGGAGCCGCCGCCGAGAAGACAGAATGCAAATGACGTCCAAGTAATAGTGATAGCATAAGCCCGAGTCTACAGTTATACTACACATGCATTAATTGCCCTAATCTACGTAGCCTCTCGTAGTGTTCTGCCGACAAAACCTACGACCTGGTCCCAGTTCCGCACAGTGGCCGATATCAACCTGCTTTCCCTCCTCAACTGCCCACTGGTAGACTACAATAAGGACCCGTTAGATGAAGGCCTCCATAAGCAACGCTATTACTCCTAATATAATGAGCTTAGACGCGAGCCACTCCTTGCCTCGATGGAGATACTCTAACAGCTCTACAGCATTACTCTCGCTAACCACAATCTAAAAAGGAAGCCCGACACACCTCCCTCGAGGTACTACTGCGATATCGTATTACTATCTGTTTCGGTGCAAGACCGTGGTAGTGGATTGGCGGTTTTTCCTTGTAACGCTTCTCAAATGCCCGGATGCATTTTTCTGATGATTTATATGCCTTCACCCTCACCTAATGGCGCTGGGGTATCCTCCCATATAATTATGATAAGGCCCACCTTGAACCTTCCTGTAAGAGAGTCCTTCTTGGCCTTGGCATCACCCTTAAATGCTACATCATCGACCCATATCACAGTCCATGCCGAACCTAGAATACGCATGATGATGACAGATGGAGAGGATGTTAATACCAAATCGGTCATCTTGTTGCGAGTTGGAGGAGGGATGGTAGGCCCTTGTTGAGGGTGGTGAGGCGGGCATCGCCGAAGGGGGACTGTATCGTGGTATATTCCTATCCCTCTTGCCATCATCAATCCACGATGGACTACATGCAGATGGTGATAATTGATCCTAATTATAATAACAGCAATGCTCATCATCTAACGATACTCTACTGCTCCCACTAGCATTGTCTCTCCTCCACAATGTCCCTCTCGCTGAAAGAGTCGTTTCCGAGGTGGGCAAAACCTGTAATAGTAATATACCACGGAATCTCCATTATCTCACTTCACGGATGCTGGAGAATACACCACTTCGACGCGCCTGTCCACGATGGTTGGAGAGTCAATACGTGGGCAGCTTGTGTAGAAGTTGGTTGGTGATGACGGCACCATGAACGATTTTATAGGCTTAGGGAAGATATCACAGAGTTCGAAGGGACGAGGAGAAGGAGGAGACTGCTGTCCTTTAGACCATGCCGGAACCCAAGACGATGCAGGAGGCACCACGTACGGCGGTAGTGGAGCCGAGTCGTCCAGGAAACTAGGTCGAGTAAAGAGTAAGGAGTATGAAGGTATTGTACGCCTACCCTTTGGGAGAGGTCCATCGTGATGGAGAGGTTAGCGGAGACCAATCGCTAAATACAACTGTAGGAGCCGTTGCAGCACTATAGGGAGTTGGTATTTCTGAGAACACGACGTATTACAAGTGGATAGGCAGCATATATACTACCAAAAGGGGCTATTGATTCCCTAGGAGCCTCATTAGCCCACTTGTGCGGCGACTACAAAGACATAGTATCGTTGCTGCCACACTCCCTCCCACTACTTTAATTATCCTCAGAGGTGACCCAGTTGAGTCTATAACCACCTCTGGGGAAAGCAATGATGACCTCGTTGTACGGAATACTGCAGCAGGGGCTGTAGAAAACTGGGTGAAGAGTGGCCTGGGCCCTCGGAATTCAACAAATGTGTTGTGGACCTACACATAGACTCATGAGAGACAGTTGTCATGATGACTAGTAGTCGTCAACCCTCCCAACAATTCTACCTCATATTTATCCGTGGATTTATCATTGTCATGTAGCAGTGGTGGAGCTGGAGTTTGATGTTGGAAGAATCCACTATGTCGCATTATTCACAACACACCAACAGCAGCTACACCGACTACATGACGGCACTCATGAAGACGTTGTACATCCTCTCTGGAGAAATCGAGACATCAAGAGAGTCCCAACCCTTGGCGGTTCTTGTCTGGGGAGAGGAGGATACATGACAGTTAACACAAGTCACGCGCCTCAAAATTCAGCGCACGCCCCAAATCTTGCGCGGATGGTAAATCTTTGATGAAGATGGATTACCGTTGATTGTCACCTCTGTTTCCCTTGAAAATGCGTAGAGCCAGGTCGACGACCCCCACCAACACTAGAGGTCATACTAGATCACCTACGGTTACAGCATCCAATGCGAGTATACTAAGATGGGCATCATTGACGGTAGGAACGCTGGCTGTAGGATGTTGAGTAAGGAGGGTCTCAGGCTACTGAACAAGAGCATCTGGCGAGTATACTCGACAATCATGGTATACAATTCCGTAAAATAATGGCTAGGGGTGGCCACGTGATAAAGGACTGTATAATGCAGTAGACGTATGGAATAGTAGGTTCACAACGTAGCTTACCTGAGAATACTATGTGATGACGATCGACCACCTACAGTAGGGAGGCACCCTTCGTTGAGTAGACACGGGGGCATGCTAAGAGGCCCTCAGCAATGTGATGAAGGAGGTAGAGGCAGTGTTGGACTGAGTACTTCTCAAGATTGTTGTACACCAGGAGTATCCTCCTACTCGTCCCTTACCATTAGTGGTACCATATCTGAATCACCCGAACAACAACAGCAACAGCTAATACAACAACAACAGTCGTTCACATCGCAGAATGATTGGCAGGAAACGCTATCACTATTAAGACAAGCGTATCCACCGGTATAGATACTGCTGTTGTGTAGTACTCTTCACGACGATATAGGTGTTCGAGGCCTTTGGGGACACTGGTCATGATCGGCGACATCCTCCCGCAGTGTTCAACACTGACCTAGGTAGAGGATAACGTCTATTCTAGATTACATACACTATTGTGTAGACGCCAGTGGTGGAGGGAAGCTACATAGGACGATGGAAGCCTTCTATGCTGATAGGGGTGTTAAGGATGCCACTGTGCAAGCAGCTAAGGCATTGCAGTCTACAGGACAATCTCAAACATCAGTGGCATCCATATTTGTATGATAAACGTTATGTCATTGAGGACTGTGTGTTCTAGGTCAATTGGCTTACTGATAGACTAGGCTTGCGTAGACTCACCGAGCAAGGTACATTGGAGACCTTACTGCTGGCACATCGTTCTAGAGAGGCTGATATGATGGTGTCATCAGGCTGTTATCGTTTTCTATCATCTACTCCCTTAGGCTGACATCTTTGCCCGTCTCCTAGAGGGGTCTTATGATGCTACTGATCTATTGTTCTTCCTCTATGTCCGGTCGGTGGTTAGTACTACAGTACAGGTAGATAGTAACTGCATATGGATACCATCAATGGCTAGGTTGATAAGTCATCCAAGTCTGTAAATCATCCTATCATAATACAGCTGCCACTCAGTGATATCGAGTCCCTGGCTAAAAAGTGAGCATAGTCGTCTTTGCCCAGGATTCATGATAATTGCTCATCAGAGTGTTTGGTCGGGATCAGAAGACTATATATGACACGTTCTTACACGTATGTAGATGGTGGCAGTGTGGGTAGAGAGTAGTAACGTGGCCAATAGGTATTAACAGATGAGATAAGCAAGGCTAGTGATGCTGAGGGGGAGCAGGAGAAGCCGGGCATTAGTCGAAAGAATGATGACCATACGAATCATCATCCTCATCATCGTCAACAACAACAACAACAACAACAGCCTCTGGTGCAAGTTGGGTATTTCATGTAACAGCACAATACCCCTCACCTATGATTATCCTGATTAATCGAGGTACATCGCCCTCTGGGTCTATCACCATCAACGTCCTGAAGTCCTTGCAGCAACGAGGTCTTCGCAGGGGCCATTGGGTTCTCCTGCTCCTGCTGCTGCTGTACATGCCGGTGTCCTACCACAGGACCCATCCACCTCATACGATGTAGTAAGCAGACCTCTATCTAGATCGACTAGATGTGCACTCTATGTCTAGGACAATGGAGTCTTGAATGAGTACATGTCCCCTAGTGACGATGGTCAATCTATCATATCTGACTACCTACAGTCAATACAACAATATCGTAAGGCTCGACAAGAGCTAGAGACAAAAGCAGCAGCTACGGCAATACCAGGCCAGTGGGGTAGGCCCTTTCCTCGTGGGGCTCTAGTTAGCCCTAGGGCAGGCTGTATGGTAACTCGAGCATCCCCGTCGAGTACGGTATCAAGTTCTGCTGGCTACAATCATGGGGTGGCTTCTACACCCACGGACGGTCCTCATCTACAGTCATCTCAGACATACGTTGGAAGGTAGTCATAAAGCAGCAGAGCTCACTTGGGTTGTGGCTGATATGCTACATGCTTGTCAACGCTCGATGATCGACTCGGTCAAAGAGGTAGTAGTGTTCTATGCTTATTGGGGTTATTAATACCACTAGGCACGGCAATCATCCCGTCATCCTTTGAAGCTACCATGTCGTGACTTTGATGCAGCATTAGAGCCCTGTGTTCACACTCTATTACGAGAGGAGAGTACACTACTCGTCAGTAGAATAGATCCTGCTATCAGTGATGTAGTATATAGTACAATAGTAACGGGAGTATGTGTATACGTGTAGATACGACTACCACCAGCCTCTGGACCACTAGTAGCTGATGCTCTGAATGCAGTGGCGAGTCATATTACGACTACTGCTGATGAGCTAGTGCAGGTAGTAGAAGATGGATTCTCTATGCTGTATTACCGGGCTTATAGATTATTATGGATGGCAGTGTTGATAATTGGATAACGGCACTCAGCAGTCTTCTCCTATTTCAACAGTCACCACAGCCAATTGACAAGGATGGGATATTGAACGCAGATACACCTGTTTACCAAAAACTAGTGGGGTCTACCAGTATCCTCTGTAGACATATACTGTATATAGGTACGATTGCGTGATTCTATATTAGCTGATGAATCGGGCACTTTGAGGCAGGCAGCAGTACGTGAGTTCTGTGAGACCCTACTGTCTAGTTCCGTACTAGAGACCTATTGTGCTCAATTAACGAGGCGTGAGCTCCTTGAGATATGTAACAATAACCATGCTGTATCTCCAATCGTGAGTTAATGATGATAATCATCCTTCTCTACTCAGTGCTTAGTGGTGATGATGAGTTGAGTCTATCTACATGGTAGGGAGTTGTGCTGACCTCGCTCTGGACCGTTATTGTAGTGTAACATGACGGGTCCTCGCTCGCCACTAGGCGAGGACAGTCAAGTGGGAGATCCAGTGGTTAGCCCTTCGCTGGTTACACCCGAGATCGTTCTGCCTCCCTCTATACTAGATGAGATAGAGATCATGTTCCGGGTTCAGGATAAGGATGGTGATGGGAGAATAGATGCAGCAGAGCTTGCTGATGTCTGGAAGGATGCACTAAGGAAGGGTGCTTCTCGGCACAGGTACATATCCAACCTTACTATACTAGCATACCTATCAGGCAGATCTATCGATGCAGGGTTGATGGCTAGTGAGGTTGCACGTACGTTGGACATTATGGATATCGATGGTGATGGCACTGTTGATCTAGAAGAGTTCAAGCATGCTATGCTGGTCAATGGTAGCAGTCTCACTTGGGGAAAATGCTGACTCCACTGTAGGTACTATGCCTCACCATCTTATGGAGGTCAATGAGCTCCTGCGTCGAAAGCTACAGAAGGATCCTCTTCTACTCCATGACATTATTGACGAATTCGTGTAGGTGGTAGTACAACTCGTGAGGAGGCTTCCTATTCAGGCGGCTAGACACCAGCGGTGTAGGTATCCTCTCGTATCAAGATATCTATGATGGATTACTATCTCGCCTTGGTGACGATGGCAAATCTAAGGTGAGCAATGGCAGCAGCCGATAATGAGTAAGTCTTGTAGATAGAGGCATTGAGAGATATGGATCTGGATGGTAGTGGGTCCATCGACTATTATGAATACCTTTACTATACGTTGGGTAGACGTAAGGAGAAAGTTGAGTTATTATTGTAGGATCACATCACTGCTACATGTTCCTACGATGATATCAGTTATGATATATCCAACGGTGCCTCTAGGACCTTGGGCCCAATACTATTCGGCCATAGAGTTGAGGGTATCTGGCATACAAGCATAGTCGCATTCAATAAGGAATGGTGGTATGGTGGCAATGTGAGCGCACCACCACCATCATCATCATCACCAGGTCTATCGCAGGTATTCCGTAGTGTACCGGAGACCACACCCTTTGGAACGCCTATCAAGCGTATCCAACTTGGCTACACCCTCCATACTCAGCGAGAACTCTATAATGTGAGAGCCATTACTGGCCCACACAAGGAGTACCATCCTTCTTAGGTGCTAGTGGAAAGGCTGTCCTTGGAGTACACTCCGGAGAGCTATGATGTTATGACCAACAACTGCAATAACTTCACTAATGATGTGTCGATGTTCCTACTACACAAGGGTATTCCACAAGACATATTAGACCTACCTTACCGGCTCATGAGTAGTGGTCTGGCTAGGATACTCAGGTAGAAGCCTTCTAATATCACAGTGGGCCCTAGCGTAGGCCTTGTAGACCCTTCCTTAATCATTGGCTTGGTGGCTTCGGTGATGACGGTGTATCCAATGAGGAGAACCTTCTACACAGCCTAGCTGATAAGCTAGCATCTGGTGACCTATCCGCCGTCAACACTATGGTACGACTCACGGCCTCGTGGTCACCATGCTGTCACGACTCTATCATCAGGTTCATTACTCACCACAAGAGGCTGGTGGTTCACCACAGATTGTACAGATAACTGCGGTGAATAGGAAAAAGAAAACTGCTACTGTCAGACGTTTCGAGTAGACTTCCACGTATACGCAGGATTCCGCCCCCTCCCCCTACCTGGCAGTTCTTCAGGAACGGTGACTTCACTATTATACGAGATGTTCAGTTCATGAAACTATCTCCTATTGATTCCTATACTCACGAGCATGCTTACTTTGCAGCCCTTGCAGTGTTATTGGGGTACGCTGACCAGTTGAAGGAAGAGGAGGAAATGAAGCATATGCAGCAGGTAGCCGTACTGGTACTTCCAGCTTGAGCAGGATGACTCAGATGCGACGAAGGCTCACCGATGCACTACTGGATGCATCTCTAAGAGAGGATAGCCCATTACTCGTTAGTAAGAAGTATCCTCATCGGCCCCCCGATGACCGTTCACAATGGTTGTCTAGATGCCTCCTTCAACACTGGAGAGCAGAGCACTCACGCAATCATCCGGAGTAAGAAGGCTCCAGTCCAAGCAGCGAGTAGCCCCGCCTCCTGCTGTGGGTTATTGTTCTCCGCTCGACGAGCTCATCAGGCATCGTAGATCTGTGCATGCCAATGTAGACCTTGAATGCTTGTATCAGCCGGTCACCAGTCCTTGTGTTATTTTATGTGGATGTGTTGGGCTCTTGCAGTACTTTACTGATCAAGATTGGCTCTTCTTAGTATTACTTTAAAGCATGACAGCAACACCTAGTGGAGCTGGAGTAATGTCGTCGAAGATTCGAGGAGGGGTTCCTATAGTGAATGAGGATAAACTAAAGGAGTATCAGTCATGGCAGCTAGATTCCCGAGGTATGGTACCTGATGATATCAGGAATGCCTTCTTCAAAGTGTTGCGATCAAAGGTAGTGCTGTTGTTTTCATCGTACTACTCCCATCACCTCTGTTTTCACCCTCTCAGCCGGCTAATCGAGCCTGTATTGACTGCATGACACGTAACCCAGTATGGATAAGTACAGGCTTTGGCGTATTCGTGTGTTTAAACTGCTCGGGCAGGCATCGCCAAATGGGGGTATGATCCATCACTACACTCCTCATGCCACGTAGGTTGCCGCAGGTTCATGTAACGTTCGTAAGGAGTTGCGAGATGGACAAGCTACCTCCTCAATATCTAGTAATGCTATCATTACTGACAACTATGTTTATATGCTGCTTACCTGTAGATTCAAATGGAGCTTGGTGGCAATGAGAGAGCTCGAGACTACTTTAAACAGCACAACATGGGACCTGGATGCTCCAAACCTATTGACTATCATGGCAGGTAGTATTACAGCTCACAAGACCTCTGGTAGTAGTACGGGCTATTTAGATGGGCAGCTAAGTACCGTCAGATGCTGCAGAAAGAGGTGGATGAGGTCATGACGGAGTAGGATTCACCATCATCATCATCATAACTGTGCTGCCTGGCATTCTCGCTCATCAGGCTTCATTACGACAAACCATCCTCAGAGCCGCTCGAGGCCACCATATCATCGGATACTCAGAAAGAGAAGGACGATCAGGGGCCCTCTGGGAGTAGCCACACAGCGGATCATCATCATCATCATCATCACGTACGGGTCGCTTCTTCCTTCCCTCTCATGGCTTCTTATTCAGAGTAGCAGCACGACTAACAACGTCGATCAGGCTGGAGTTAAGAGGCCCCAGAGTAATGGAAGCGCCCCTCCTATAGTGATACGTAAGAAGCCACTAGCACCAGTAGTCATCAAGGCTCGGCCACCACCTCCACCACCACATAGTAATATCATATTCCCTGATGATGCAGGAGAGGTAATATAGATGATGCATACTTATACTGTGTTGTCTGTAAGTGTGCAAGTCCATCGGAGTCGTGGTCTCGTCATCAGGTTGATGATTTTTTTGATCGTCTTGAGAGGGAGGCCTCCGCCGTTAACCCGCAGAAACCTGTTGTGAAATCTGCAGGATTTGCTTCGAGACCCCAACAGACATCCCCAACCCTCGGAGGCTTTGTGAGGAAGTCGGAGCCCATGAAAGGTGCTCCATGACGCTCATCCTTGGCTTCTTCCTATCATCCCTTGCCAGCTCCTTCATCATCTTGTACATACGGGGGCACCACGGTAGCTGCATCGAGTGTATCTCCATCTCCTCCCAACCACGTTAGCTCACAAGACCACAATGTACCAGATCGATTGAGGAGCAAGGGAGGTGATCCATGTGTCCTTCTTCGGTGGCGTATATTCCCATCAGGCATCTCGTCCGATGACTTCTTCGATGCACTCAGCCCCTCCTATAGTGGAAACCCTTCAACAGAGAGGCTGCCAGCGTCCTTTGCTACTCGCCAGAGTTTTGGTAGCGAGGACCTCAGCCCGGGTGGAGGAAGAGGAGGAGGAGGAGTCCATCGGGAGAGTACTAGTGGAATGGAGTAAGTGGTGGTAGTAGTAGTCTTACCTAGATCATTGTTGGTCGGTCTCCTCTAGTTTCGATGATCTCAAGACTTCAGCAGCGGTCGCGGCTGAGAAGGGATTACAGTATGCGTCTAAAGTAGCTCTGCTCATCTCGAGGACCGATCGGACATACTTCACTACTATCATCAGGGTTACGAAGCTCTGTCGTCCTACATTCGCCGACAAGGGAGTGAGTTCTAAACGACGCTGTTGGTTTATGACTGTAAGATACTGTCGTACTCACTCGCGTTGTAGCACTCATTACTAGTATTATAATGGTGGCTTGTATGGCGATGATAGTATGTGTCGTGTTGATGTGTGGTAAATGAAGGGAGCAATGTGTAAATGCAGCATCCTCTGCCTCCTTCGACGGCTCGTTCACTATAAAACTCTCTTGCAGGCATCATTCATGATGATGCTGATGATCCGGAATATGTCTAGCGCCTCTACTTTCCGTGCTTCACGACAACACCTCTCATTTCGTATGCATACTCTAAGGGGTATAGGTAGTAGTAGTAGTAGTAGCTCGAGCCAGGAGTGTGTCATCCGCCACCTGGGTCATAGAGGAAGCTTCTCAGAGGTACTTGATCACCGTCTAAGGCCAGTATCATCAGGTCTATGATGCTATCATTTCAGATGGCAGCTCAATCACTGATATCGCTATTAGGTGGAGGAAGGTCCACGCCTAGATGTGGGTCCATGGTTAATACTTCTCTGACGCAATGTCTTCAGTAACATTGAAAGGTGGCTACTCCTACTTGGAGGAGTTACTAGACTTTGGACCAGAAGCAACGGTTAGTGCTACCCCAGAGTTGGCCATTGTAGCTGGTGAAAGCAGTAGGGTTGTGATGAGTGCGGTATCATCCCTAGATCCCCTTCGAGTCATCTCTCCTGGGACCATATATCCACATTTATGACGCGCTGCTCGGTGATGGTCTGAAGATATTCGCTGAGTGCTCCCGAGTGGAGAAGCACTGCCTCATAGGTGGTATCGTACGATTATAGCTATCACCATTTGTGATGGTCTTAGGCGGATCGGTGAATACTACCTTATCAAGTATCAAGAGAGTTTACTCTCACCCATGGATCCTCGGGAACAGTAGCAAATAAATGATATCATCGTCACTTCAACTGTGATTTGATAGGCAGAGAGTTCTCTGAGCGACATTCTTTCTCAGCAATTGAAGTTAGTTCTACATCGCGTAAGTGGTCCCCGCGATGATGCATGGGTATTGAATATGCCTGGATTCTCTCAGACGCTGTTGAGTTTGTTGCAGCGAACCGTGAGGACACTAGTATAGCCGCAATAGGCAGCTCGGTACAGGCTGAGACGTACGGACTCCATATTGTGATCACATTACAGGTCGTATGACTGCTCCGACTAGTCCTCTGATCAGGTTAAAGAGAATGTCGCTTGTGATGAAAACACACAAACTCGTTATGTTATCGTTGGTCCCGGTAGCGTCCCTGATAACGTCCTAGAGTGTTCAGACTCAGTACGGCTGAAATCCGCTTTGTGCGTATTAATAAAGGTGAAAACCATGTACCACATGATGCCTTATAGATCTACTCAGGATGAGCCAAGTGCTCTATTCAAGGCACTGGCAAGCTTTGCGCTGCGAAATCTGAACATCACCAACGTGGTGAGTATTTCATGTGAACCACCCAGGCGTTGAAGTTGTATTAGCAGGTCTTGCGGCCTTTGGCTATGTTCTCATCCTTCAGGGAGGCTCTACCTGGGGGAGGTTTGCATTGGGACTACTGTTTCTATATTGAGTAGATCTTATTACCGACACTACAATGGTTGAAGTATCCAATGTAAGGTATGATGCTGGATCAGAAGAGTCTGAGGCCGCACTTGTCTCGAGCCTCGAAGAGCTCAGTGGACCTGTTGTTAAGCTACTTGGGAAGGTAACACTATTCACTCTCTCGTAACGCATGGGGTACTGTCGTTATTGAGAGTCATGCTGCACCTCTGGCGGTCGTCATCGCGTTATTTCGTAGAGATACCCATCATTTGTACGGCAAAACCAATATCGACACCCTGACTGGAAGACCCGATCAGACGAAAGCCTTTCGTGGGAGCAGTTGCGAGAATTTTTGTCAAGATGAGAGCAATGGAAAAGTTTCCTTCATGGAATACGGATATGTGGCAGTTATCCGATTAGCTGGCCTTTTCCTGACGATATGCGTTTGGTTCGTCTTGAGAAAAGTTACACAAAACGAATTACGTAGTTCAGATGTGTCGCTCTGTATCGAATTGAATTTTCGTCTGATGTTCTATGATTTGGTGATTTCCGCTTCGGACCTGGAATTTAGTGATCTGGGTCCGAATTCCGAAAGGAGCTTGTACCAGACTGAAATCTATGATATGAACGATTGCAGTGACACGGTTCGTATTGCTCCCCCCGCTGATTGCGCTTTCGTCGGAGAGAGACGATGCTAGCTCGCTAGTTTCTACGAATGGAGATAGCGGTGGGGAATAGTTGTTAGCATTGCGCAATGTGCACTTCGCTGAGGGAATGAATAGATGTGAATAAATTGCGTCAATGTGACCGTCACTCATGGGGGATGGGTCGGCATTAGCTTTTTGAAATTCATTCTGCGCTATGGTATAACGGTTAGCACACCGGGCTCTGAACCAGGTTATCTATGTTCAAATCCCGGTAGAACCTTTGCTTACATCGCCATCATATTGGAACCAATGTAAACGAATTACTCAGCCCGTGACCTTCCTCGAAGTGAGCAATTGTCGCTGGGATTCTCTAGGAAGGCAAACACGTATATTCGGTTCTATGGTGTAACGGTTAGCACTCCAGACTCTGAATCTGGCGATCTGGGTTCAAATCCCGGTAGAACCTTTGTGCTTCATACTGAAGTCCAAGTACTCGAATCACTCGGTTTACTTAAAAACTCGGGCAATCAATAGTCACCGTGTTTTGCAAAGAAGGCAAGTTGACATCTAAACAATTGCCATCGTTGTTAGAGAACTTCTAGGCTTCCCAATCTAGTATGTGAACTCACATTGAACGTGTGCCCTTACTCGTTATGGAAGACAGTAGTGAGGCAGCCATGACGGAGTAGTATCGTCGAGCTCTGGTCCACAGACCCCTTAAATAGGAGACGGGTACAGGCTGAAACTTTCATTTTTCTTGGAGGATACTGAGACCAAGCGAACTTTTCGAGGTCATGGTGGTCATTCCTTGAGATATACAAAGCCATGCTTTCTGTTAAGAGAACTCGACATCTTTGGCAAACAAATTGTAAGTTACAAATGATGATCATGACGAGGGATATGATGAGTACGACCATAGGTACAACGAATGTCACCTGTCCCGTGACGGGACACCTATTAGTCACACGCCAGGTCCGTCGTTCGGCAGGCACATGACGAATTGTCGTTGCATCTCGCCAAGTTGGAAATACTGCAGGAATGGAACCTGCCTGCAGTTTCCCCTATGAACGATAATTCCCCTATGTACGATGATCATGATGGGGGTGCATCATCGTCAGAAGGAAACGGAATACACTCGGAAGACTGTTAGCCGCGACTCCCTCCTCAACATAGAGGCTTGGCGGGATTCGTCAAACAACCCAGAGCGTCATCACTTCCATCGGAATGATAATCCAGCGCCTCCCCCCCGCAGCTAGTCTCGTCATGCATTGCCATCAACTCGACTACGCTCTACATATTAAGAAACGACGTGGTATATTACATGATGGGCGCTAAGTGTCACAGAGCGGCGGCAATGATGACAATCACTCGCTACTCCTCTCCATGATACCTTCCTGAGCTCTACTAACCATGCTGCCATGCTCGCTCCCATAACCAGTCGAGAATATCTTGTTCTATCACTATACTAGATTTCTCCATCGCAAGAAGCACATTGACTAGGAGATCAGCACGACCAGCAGCGATGGTATGCAAGAGGAAACCGGGCAGCAGTGGTCCCAAAGAGGAGATAGACAACGTCAAGAGATGGCGTTCAGCGTCGGCAACACAATCTAATACACGCTGAGCTAAACATTGACACCCCACTGAACCATGGCACTGTGTATCAGTGTAGTGTAGGAGACCAGACGGGCAACCCGCTGGCATTACTCCGCGTAGAGTGTCCAGCGCATGCGCGACGCCGGTCCCTTCAACAAAGAGCCCAGCCGGGTACTTGTCAAGGAATTGCCGAGGAGTAGTATCGCGGAGTAGGAGGTCGAGATCACGGCGAGGATGTATAACAGCATGGGGCAGGAGTTGGAGATACCTATCCCCCATTTGTTGGACGGGAGCCCCCATCCAGTGATATCTGAAGGCCTCGCATCTTAACCTAGACGTACTCGATGACCCGTCGTCTTTCTGGATCCCCAGGAGGATTCGACGAGCCTGGGCCCATCCCAAGTGCGTAAATACCTCGTCGAGCTCATCCCTGATCACGTCGACCTTCGCAAGGTCACCCTTTTCCCTCGTAAGAGCATCAATAATCCAAGAGGGTGTGACAATCTCCTCGACCACAGGTGATTGTGTACAGAAGGTCGAGCTGATGCTGAGAAGCCGTGCACGACGGTACACTCTGCCAACATCCGATGTGCTCACAGCAGTCAACACTGATGTCCCCCGAAAGGTTGAGATCGCACCTAAGAGCCGCTTTTTGACCCTAGTAGTCATTGGACCCGCCCCTTTACCTTCATCATCTCTGGAACCGGTAGTAGACGACAATATGGGATGTCGCAAGCTTCTGGTCCCTACATGTAATATAGGTTTGTCTTTTAGAGCATCAATAGCCCTGGGGAAGTTCGAGAGATTGAGCACTTCGATGCCACCACCATTGAAGACCTCACTTCGTGACTTCGATCGGCTACTATCACTAGCGGCCGATACACTACACGGCGACGACCGGGTAGGCAGGGAGCGAGGTTTGGATGGTAGGGCAGGAAACGACAATGATAAAGGAATAATGCCCGGTGGCTTACCGATAATGTTAGCTTTGACTAAGGCTGTGATACAAGTGATGTTGGGGTAATACCCTATGTGAAGGAGAGCGTCTTGACAGTCCCCCATCGAGCTCACTGTCACAATGAACGGAGCGCTACTGCGGTTATTGGTCAATGGCCCGAAGTCATGGGCAACTTCGACTGTCTCAACGTCAAGAAGGTAAACATTGTTCCTATTGCCGCCTATTGATAGGATATGTCTATCACCCACGATCCAAAGCATACCTAAGCTTATAGACTTCCCACTGGTCGAGAACTTCAGAGTGCTCTGAACTGATAGTGTAGCATAGTTACAACTATCATCCAATAGACTGATATCAGCCATCCATAGTCTGCCACCAGGTCGAGCACAGCATATACGACCATCATCCAGCAATGCAGCACCGAATCGACCATGATGGCCACGGGAGCCAACCCATACAGGTCCTCTGATCCTGCCTTATTATCGAGACGTATTATACATACCCTTTCAGTTGTGGCTATTAGGAGTAGCCCTTGTGGTATATGATCACTATACGACATTGATATGATCTGATGACCATGAAGACAATAGTCAAGTCGGGTAGGTGGTGTATTCTCAGTGAGGATAAGGATCTCCCCTCTGCTTGTGCCAGCATATAGTGTATTTCCCCTACCAAACGACAGTGTACTGACTGGTACATCGAGATCGACATCACGATGGTGACTGTTAGCGCACGAATCAGCAATGACTGAGCAAATGATTAGGATTGTATTGGTATCGATCGCCGTCGATTGGACTAGAGCTAGAGTGGTATTATCACGAGATACCGCTGTAGCTATGAGTCGCTGCTCTTCTGCAAGCTGTATGCCCATCTTCCATCGTTTATCGAGTACTATGCCTGTAGCATCATGAATACTCCTTAGACCAACCGAGTATACCTCATTGCCCTGGATAACCCAGGAGGAGCCTTGTTCACCGAGTACCCCACATGGCGGAGCAGCTAGGGCCAATAGTGATATATGACAATCAACGGCATTTGATTGATGAAGAGGTAGGCTAGGCTTGCTACTCTCAGTTTCTAGTGAGGATGCAGTGTCCGACACCGAGGAGCCCAAGCTGCTGGATATAGATGGCTTTACTGACGGTAACGTTGTCACCATCAAATAAAAGAGATCACCTACTTTACTCTCCCCATCTAGTTAATTCATTGACTACTGAAACTGTGTTGGTATGGAAGTGGAAACAATCACTGCTAGTGACATCAACAGCAACAGGTACACAAATTGATACAACCAACTGAGTATACAGAGAACGATACTTGGATGAGGGCTCCTTCCCTTACAAAGGCTACTGCAAATCCATAGTGACGACCTTACGCCCACCGTCCACAGGGTGGTTAGTCGTCGCCCAGCAGGTCGGTGGATTCAACAGTATCACTCTGGGAGGGTTCTGCTGCTGCTTCTGTCAGTGGAGGCGGTGGAGGATCTCGGTACATCACAGTAGGACTTTTGTTGGTAGGCATACCCTGGTACAGAGGCTCTATGGTTGGTACGAATTTACTGCTAGTCATCCAATATATAGCTGATAATGTGTTGAATTCCTCATCGAATATCCTGTCATCAATCTTGATATCATACGTGTTTTCGGATGCATTAGCCTGAAGTTAACTCGAATCAAGATCACACTGAGTGGTAGTAGTTGCTTACAGTAGCTTCCTCACCAACCAATACTATGTCATGTGCCTCTTGAGTACTCCGTTTCAGTAGTCGATAGTACATCAATGCTCTATCACGAACATCAGGACTAGCAGCAGGGCCTAGCAGCAATACGTCAGTGCTAGTAGATGATAGCATGAGCACTCACTCGTAACAGCGTAGTTGAATGCTAATCCCAATATCTTCTGCATCTCAGGTGGACGTGCAAAGAATAGCTTAGTACAGGCAGTCAATAGCTCAAGAGCAACTGTATCATCAGATGCCTTGATAACCTCATCATCGTCCTTCGATATGGTCGGAGCTGTCGACAGAAGAAGGCAGTCAGTTTAAGTACAGCACACAGTAGTGACATACCTGGAGCCACTGCGGCGGCTGCTGCTGCTGACTCATCGAGACCGAACTCAACAGCCTCTAGACCGTTCACACCAGGAGAGAGTGCACCAGCATCGGAGTCCATGAGCTCGTTGATGATGTCCTCGAGGATATAGGGTGCCATGGGTATGGAGTCACCGTATTCACCTGACCATTACAGCTTGTTACTACCAGCAGCGTTTACTGGACTATAAGCACTCACCGAGAATCCATACCACTGCCGCCTTGCCCAATGGATCCCCCGATACATTCTTAAGGCACTTCTCAAGTACCTCTGGGCTTGTAATCTGATATCATATACAGGTCCGCATAATGCGACTAAAGAGGTACTTACAAGTTCTATTATGTGCTCTCTACCACTGGCAACACCACTTCGCAACAACTGTTTCAATACGACCACAGCCTCCGACGCTACACCCTTGTCACGAGGAGTGTCCGAGCCTACAATAGGATTAAAAATGGCAGTAAGAGCTGAATGGTTACCGGTCAAGTGATCCAAGAGTATATCGAATATCCCAGGGACGGCTCCTGGACATGCTAAACCCACTGCTCCAATACTACGGACGGCTTCTCGAGACACCTCCGAATCTGGATCATTAGAGATGGTCTCCCGGAACTAACACAATGGAGCAGGTGAGTGGGTAGCCTCGATAGCTACTGCAGATGATATTACCTCTCCTAGTATATCGTTAACACAAGTGCTGTCTGTCTTAGCTGCTTGGCAAGCCAATAAGGTGAGGAGCTGAAGCTTGAGATACTTGATGTAGCTGGGCTCGTTGTAACGACAGTAAAAATTCTTGTAATCCCCACCCGTGAATAGAGGAGCACCTGATATACAAGTATGCTCGCTGTCGTTCATATCTCGACCCTTATCTACCTCCAGCCTTCTGCTGATGCACTACGATAACAGTGATATGGTTAAGGATGACATAGGCTTGCTCATGACCCCCCGTAGAGATAGCGCCCAACAATGTGAGCAATGTAGGTTTCAGTCGCTCCCTGATAGTCAAAGCATGGCAGTCCTAGAGGCAGACCAATCTCTCCGCACTACATGACTTGCTGTAGAAGCTCCGCATTCCCACTATCACCATCAGTAGTAGCAGCAGCAGCAGATGCCCATTCCATATAAAGGGTGCTAGTCGCCATGATGACAGATGGACTATTCTGTTTAAGAAGAGGATCTAATACATTGAATACGTCGAACATCTCCTCCTCGGTATCTGACAGGTAACTGAGAGAGCACCACAGGAAGGGAGTACTTACTGGGTCTGTATTTCTTAGTAATGATCTTGATGATAGCATCTGCACCCCACTCCGAGAAACGGTATATGTTATTCAGTAGGTTATCTACGATCTCCTGTGTTAGCTCGATACCTCCTATATCAGCCAATATCTCATTCAATGCCACCTATGAATACATGGAATGAGTGATGAATTGACGTAGTGCTCATTACCACTGCATCGTATATAACATCAGGGTCATGGTCGGATCCGGATACTATACGATATAGATCCTGCACTATGTCGGTGTTCTCTCGTACCTAAGCATGGTATTATCAATAATATACGAAGCATTGAGGGTGGCCTACGTGCTGTGGGTCGAGATGGAACATCTTGAGAGCACCAACAACAGCTGCCTTCCTAACATAACCATTGGGATCTACTAGACCCTTCTTCACTGCTGGCTCCAAGTACTCCATCATGTTGCTCAGCTGAAGTCCACCTAGAGCACCACACTGTGAGTATTACCACTTCCATACAGTGTACTACATAATGATCTGAGAGCCAAGCCACGTATACTGGGATCAGTATCCTGGCAATCCTTCTGTAGTGTGTTGATTGCCAATACTGCTAGAGAGGGATTGGATGCAGCATAGTTTACTAGGTAGAGGTATATCATCTTCTTTTGGACCTATCGTCGAAGAAAGAGCTAATGCCTTAGTGAAGCCTGTTGTCCACTACTACTATTACCAAGTCGTTGGTATACGACGCCATAACCATCTCGGGGAAGAGGCGGCTCACATCAATACCAAGAGTCATGAATGCAATGACCTGATACAAAATGAAGATACTCTCTGCTGTTACCAAGACTATCCCTATGTGCACGCCTAGGCGACTCCTGATTGAGCTACTACCTTCTTGATAGCCTCTCGCTTCTTTTCCTGATCCTTATCATTCTGCACCGACTGCAGGAGTTGCCGTAACTCGTTGATTTCACCACGTTTATCGAAGTATCTACCGCACGACTATGCAACAGTACATAGAGGCAATACTCACTGTGCAGAAGACGGTGGTGGTGGTGGTGGAGGTGGAGGTACTCCGGCCATCGATCCAAAACGTATGCAGAAAAAGCCAAACTGGTGATGGTCAAATTGCCATAAGATGGTACTACAACGCAATGGATTAAGAGGTAGTAGTGAATAGATACTTGACGTTAGGGATCATACAATGATATCTGGTAAATACGGTAGAGGAAATTATGCGATAGCTGCTGGTAGATGTAGTGATGATAATCACAACTTTCGCTGTTTGAGACCTCGCCATTCTTGAACCTTCTCCTTCATAGCTCTCTTCCTCTTCTCCACCTTCACAGCTCTCTTAGCCAACTTCCTCTCAGCCGTCTCCTGCGGATGGACGATTGCATCAGCCTTCTCATCCGCCTTGCGCCTCTGTCGGGATCTAACTACTATTCCTCTCATCTGAAAAGGATAATAAATCACCGCCATACCAGCTACACCATCATACCTCAACGAGCTCCTTATTCCATTTATTATACAGCGTCGCTCCGCCTGCCTTCCGTATCCATTTACCCATAGACTCCACAGCCTGATTGGCGATAGCACAAACTCTCCTGATACCAGTGTATGGTCGTAGCTTGGCTAAGTCAGTAAGACTGCTTGCTTGACCAACTGAAAGAGGAATACAAGTACTCTATGTACGAGGGTAGAAGTCTTCCCCTACTTTGATCCTCTCCTTCTTGAGCAGGTCTAACGCTAGATATCCTAACCAGAGTCGACAAGAGCGGCTTCAAGAGCCCAGCCTCATCCGAACATAGCACATCGGGAGTCACCAATACAGCACTCGCACACACTAGCTTTAGTAATGCTCCTAGACGTACTATACCACCACTTCGCTTGTATGCAGCCAAGAGTTTCCTTGTCTCGTAGCTGGTCCGTACTAGTAACCATCTCAATCGTGGTGGTACTCTCTCTGAGCTCTCCGGTGGCAGTTCCATAGTAAGGTCTCCATTATCAACAGCATCCTTTTCATGCTCAACTAGTAGACCCATATCACCACCTTCGACATCTTCCAAGTCAGCCTCATCATCATCTTCAGAGGACGTCTTGTCGTCACCCTTCTCGTCCTTCCCATCAGCTAATGGGTTTGAGTCCTCCTCCGTGTCACCAATATCAGTGTCATCAATCTCCACCTCTTCAGGCTCCTCTTCATCTACTTCCTCCTCCTCAGAGACCACTTCCACTCTCGAGTTCTGATCGCGTTGTGCACAAGATAGTACAGCCACAGTAGCTCGCACTGTAGCAGATGCCACCTCAGGATGCTCTCCAGCGAAGGGGGAATAACAAGCAGTAGTGAGCCTAGGGATGGCCCCCTCAGGGACGTAGGTATCGGTAGTAGGACTGTGTTTTGGATCCCCAAACTGAGTGAGCAACTCGGAGTCAATAGCCGACTCTGGGATGGTCCACTCACTGCGACCGTTAGAATACTCAGTAACAATACGTAATGCAGCCAGCCTGACCCATGGGTGGGGAGCTTGTGTTCCAGCAGGCCCAAGGGAGAGCTGCATAAACGCATTACTAGTGTCATCCAATACAGCAGACTTATGATAACCCCCAGCCTCGAAGGCTATAAGAAGCTCATACAGAGTGTGCCAATAGGTAAGCTGTTGTGGGGAGGAGATCTGCCCTAGACGAATAACAGCTTCTCGGAGTACCGGGACGATACCAGCATCGGAAGGATCAGCACAGGTGAGACAAAATTCACCAAAGGCACCGAGTAGTTTGGGTTGATCAGCCTTGCTCCAACTGATGACCTTACCTCGTAGTGTTGCTCGCAGATGGACCTTCTCGACCACTACCTTAACGAGCTCTCTGAGCATAGATCTACATCGATCATCGGTCTCCCCAGCAGCCCCTGCTAAACCGGTTAGAGTCATCATCAGCGAGAACTCCTTCAAGACCTCAGCCGGCATTTGCAGTGCTAAGGAGTGTAAAGCATTGATAGAATATCGTCTAGTAGGAGGAGCACAGGTAGGATTGGGTGAGTTAGCACATGCTGCTGCTACACGTACCAATGATGCTATCTTAGCAGTTAGAGACTGTGTAGTATGAGGATAGTCTATAAGCCATTTGGAGACTATCTGTCCACAGAGGGCACCAAGAGCATCATCATTATAATAGGTACCACCAGCACCACAAAGTAGATTCTCCAGGACTACATTACATACGCTATAGAGTTGTACCACCAACTGGGAGTGACCGGCTTTACCAGAGTTTTTGGTACGCTTGGTAGAGGCCTCGCTTGGTGGGGATACCCTAGGCATTATCACCCGGCGTAGCATGGTCATAGCACTCATCCTGAGCTTAGGATGCTCACTGACACATAGTTCAACATGGGCTAATAGTGCTAATAAGAGTTCCTCGTTACATTTGATAATACCAACAGTACCAGTAAGGAGGCTGCATAACAATTTCGTACAGGTAGCTACTATCGATGATGCTGCACTACTATGAGTAGACTGTTGCCGTGTGGCTTGGACTACAGTTAGATCCTTAGAGAGGGAGGCACCAGCACTATAGAACTGCACCATCTTCAACACACTCCTCACGATGCCCAACGTCTCCTTAGCACTGAGAACGTCTAGTAGAGGGTTGTTACCACTAGTGCTAGATGATGATGATGATGATGATGATGCAAGAGGCCCGCCCTTTACAGAGGTGTACTTCATGCTGGATATGAGACGACTCAGGGATCTAGCCGCTGGTACAAAGACATCATCCACCTTGCTAACGGTTATGAAGTAGGCTATTGGTGATAGTATACCCCTTAGGGTCTCCTCATCACTCAGCAAGCTAGCTGTTGAGGAACTACCCTTCTTTAAGAGACCTTCTAAAAGCTTGAGACCCACTTCAGCTGCTGCACTCCCCCGTATAGTATTATCATAACGTCGTGTGGATGCACCACTGCCCTTCTTCCATTCCTCAGCTACCCAGGCACCCCGTCCAGTGGCTGCACCCGGTAGGACAGTGACAGCCTCCTCTTTCCTGCTTTTCCTAGTATTATTGCTAGCCCCTTCTCCAGAGGTAGCAGGGTCTATGATAGCAGCACTGGCGGAGAAGAGATCTACCTCCTCGAAGCTACACTTATCCTCTAGCACACTAACTGCACGTGTGAGTATACGCTGACATTGCTGTATAGGAGAGTGAGATGCTAGGATACCAGTAGTTAGTTGCAACATAGAGGTCCGAACTCGACGGGCAAACCTAGCCCCACCAACACCACCAGCATGCTGACTAGACCATGCTCCCTCTCGGACATCATCCAGCTCGGTACCGATAAGGCGACCATAGAGAGGTTTCATAAGGCCATCCAATACCTTCTCGATGGGCATGGCTTTGCCTACAGCCTCAAGAATGGCATTGGCCTTTGGTCTAGCTGCTTCCGAGACTTGTTTTGCCAACATAGGGTTCTCCTCAGTCCCTTGAGTAGACTCAGCCCTACCTTGCATTGACAACCATCTAGCTTCCTCCATACCATACATGCCCATAACCTCCTTCAAGAAGGATTCTACACCCTCTCCATCCTTCAATGTAGCCGAATCTATTATCTTACTGGCCGTGAATACAGCAACAGGAGTCTGATAACCACCTCGGGACATTCTTGTACGGATCGTCCTAAGCATAAAGGTAATCTGCTTAAGACTGGTAGCAGCTGCTGCCATGCGAGATAGAGCATCTCGAGCCTTCCTCCTATCCTCCAACTCTCTTGAGAGTAAGCCTCCAACCACAACACCAGTGAGCTTATTAAACTCACTTCCGAATACGTCAGCATCCATCAGACTAAGGACCTCTAACATAGCTGATACCATGCTCACACGGATGGTAACAAATACATCCTGCTGCCCCCCACGACCATGATGTGCTTGCTTCTCATTACCAACGGCTCCAGCCTCATCCTCAACCTTTTGTTTAGTATATACTAAACGCCTAAGCATTGGTAGTACTGTGGACTTGAGGTTGCCGATCTTCTCCGACAGATCATCCCGCTGGGATATCCCTTGTACGGCAGCTGACACACCCTTCAAAAGGGCCTTCTCCATCTGCTCAGGGCTCACACCATGTCTACCAATACCACGATTCCTCAAACCCTTACGGCTCACACCACCCGGTTTCAGCTGACCTCCTAGCCATCGGAATATGCCGATGACCCTGGTCCAGCTAAGGTCCTTTGCTGCTAGCTTCATGATACCAGTTGATACATCTACAAGGTTATGGTCATCAGGGCTGTTGGTAATATGATATCGTGCTAATGGTAGTAGTAGATGTGATATAGTGGACTTGCTGAGCTCATCTTCAAGAGCCAGTATCCTCACTAAAGCCTTGTGCTGTCTCGACTTCTGTAGATGGAATAGATCATCCAAAGTACCCTGTTCAGCCAATGGCATCAACTCTACATGCAGTAGGTCAGCCCAAGTACTGCCAGACTCATCCTTAGTACTACTACCAGCACCACGCTCTCGATCCCATCCTTGGGCCACAGCAAACGGTGCCATATTAGTGCAGTATGCAGCTATGATCCGGATACCACTGTTAACCACCACTTCAGACGGATGATCCAAGAGCTTTCTGGTCCAGGGTATAATGAGGCCCCTCACTAGAGCCAATACCGTAGTGTCCTCACTCCTATCATTACCACACTTGCATAGGGCATCCTCAATGAGTCTCCTAACACCAAAATCACAGGTAGGTTCCCGTAATTGCCATAGCATATGCCTTAGAACAGGTGCCTGCACCCACCACCAAGCTGATAGACCATCAGAGGGTGGGCCTAGTATAAGATTCAAGCCATCGACTTGCTTGTCGAAATCAGGTTCACCACCAAGCTTGTTAACAGCAGTAAGCTGTTCTAATAGACCCGAGACCTTCTCTGTAGCATTATCCGTCCTACCCATACGACGATAGACAACAGCAAGCGCCAGTGCTATCTGATGCCGCGTACCCAGCCCCGCTACTGTTGACAGACCCCTTGTTAGTACACCTGATACATGAGTGGTGTCATCAGTAGGAGGTGTCCACATCTTCAAAAGTCCACCATTGACGAGAGTATCCAGGATAGATGCTGCTGCCTTGGCAACATCCTGTGGCCTCTTATCTCTACCCTTCAGAGTGTCTAGCTGTGAGCATAATAGTTCCACAAGCGTTGATGCTGTAGCCTCCTTCTCGCATAGTGGTGCTAATATAGTGAGGGCCTTGAGGACCTCTGCGTTACCTAGTTCACTACTGCCAATGGAGAGCAATACCTCATCTATATGCTCCTTGATAATACCCTCACCCTCTTTTAAGGCATCAGAATACTCCTCTTCTAGAGCCCTCAACTCCGCACCATCATCCTGCTCATCCTCCCTATCATCCCCCTGCTGTCTACGTATCCTCCTTCGACGTAACCTAGTAGCCTTCTGATAGCTCACCCCTCGACGTGCGAGCTTATCCTCAGCTATCTTGAATAATCCTGCCGCCTCTGAGCCTCCTCTCGATAACAGCGTAACAAGCCGACATGCATCATTCAAGCACTTGCCCGAGTTGCCTCTGGTGACGAATATCATTGACAAGAAGTTGGGTGCCAGATCCTTGAATAGATGGAATAGTTCACCATGACTAGCTATAGATAGGAATAGGTTGAGAACCAGACTGCTCTCACCAGCATGGGCCATACCATCCATCCACTCCCCAATGTCATCCTTCAATGGCAATAGTAAGGTACCGTAATCAGCATCATGAGGATGCTTTTCTAGTAGGTCGCATAGGAGCTGTACTATTAGTTTTCGTATGGTATTAGTGAACTCGGCATCATAGTTAGCATCTTTGACCTCACCCCAAAGAGTTACCAATCGTGTAGCTATCCTTGGCACATGCATACCTAGGCGTACCCCCACAGCCTTTTGGACATCCTTCAACGCCTTAAGGTACCCAATACAGCACTTCCTGAGGTCACTATTGAGAGGAGCCTCCATAGCATCAAGGAATATACCAAGTTCATCGACCCTACCACCAGCTATATATGTGAGGATCTGCCCTCGCCTAGTGGCCTGCGTCTGACCATGCTTATCTATACCGCCACCCTTGGCTGACATCTTACCGAGTAGTATACGATATATGACAGTTACAACCTGATTAGGATCATCATACTACTATCGACAACATAGGATAATGTAGATGATCACCTTGGACCTGTCCTCATCGGCTATCCTATTGATAGTCCCCTCCTCCTCCTCAACTACTGATTCACCTCCTTCCCCTAGAGGTATCTTCAGGAGACCATCTCGAAATGTCTTATCATCAGTTAACATCAATATCTCCTTCTTATACCTAGTAACAATACTCTACATGACCTACCCTCGACCTACTATTACCTCTTTAATGCATCTCTCCATTGCCTAGACTGTAATAGGATCTGTAAACCGATAGTAGCCATATCAGCTCTACGCTTGTTATGCCCTAGACTCGAGTCCCCCAGCAAATGCTCAACAGCCATCCTCGAGAGCTCCCCTTCCGTGGCCTCAGAGCAGATGAATCTACAATATAAGGAACGTACATCGAATGAGGGGAAGTAGATGATGGGACTCACGCTCTATCCTTGGCGACTGTTAACAAACAATCCAGCAAATCTGATACTTGCGATACTGTTGCTGTTGGTCCAGTTACAGTATCATATTCATACCGTCTCTTTAGCACATCTAGACAGCTATTGACGAGCTGAATATAAGGAAAGCGCTATCCAGAGTAACACTACTAACTCTTGAAATCATTAGTACCCATTCATTTTCCTCACTCTTCTCCTTCCTCATGTGTGGTGATGCTCCTATTACAGCAGCAATTGCTGTACAAAGCTGCTGATGACGTGTCGATGGCCCAGGGAGTTGTCGGTCATCTTCAGCAGCCTTAGCCATAATAAGCCTAGATACGGACACCCTAGGTCCATACGGAACATCACTACACCTACGCCCTATCAGCCATAGACCCTTTTCCCTCCTCGATAGACATCTGCTCGTCGTCGTCATCATCACCAGTAGACTGTATTTGTGGTCGAGACGTCAATGCCCATACAGACTGTATACTCTCCTTTAAGGCTTGCCATACTGCTCCTCGTCTATTCCCAGCAGTAGTACCATTTGGATCATCGGATACCAACTTAGATAAGGCAGTAGTAGCAGCCGGCCATAGAGTTGACAGTGGGACTGTATACTCAGCTACTAGTATCTAATACATAGTAAACATGAACGTCACAGCACTATTACTAGAGATATCAGTCTACCTTAGCAGATATTGCTATCTCCTCCTTGGTGGCCTCGGTATTGGTTGTTATGGACTCAGCAAGCCGACCTATCCTTATCATACGTTCTCTCTCGGTATCGATACCCAATGGTCCTGTAGCTTCCATTGATAGTGCAGAGGATATTGGTGTAGAGTGTGGGAATCTACCCAACAGTAGGGATAGAGCACTCTCCCTTACAGCACCTACACCAAATGCCTATCGATACAACCCATCATATAGAATACTACCTCTAGTATCAGCACATGCATTGATGAGGCTAGCTATAGCATCATCATCATGTGGTATCCATCCCCTATACCCTAGGGCTTCCAATGATCCACTACCACACTCCACGGACTTCATAACGATAGCAGCATATTTCTCTACTTCCGATTGAGGACATAGCCGAATACAGAGAGCCTGGATTGCCGGCTCCGTACACTCATGCAATCTTCCTAATGCCTGACGAGGGTTGGGATAAACTCTACTACATGATAGTATCCTACCCTACCTTATTCACTGCCTTAGCCACTTTAGGGGTGTAGACTACCTCTCCGAAGCGATCCTTCTCCTTGATACCAGCCACAAGGTTCAGATAGGCAAAGTCGTTGGCAGTGGTACTAGAAGAGCTGGCCGTATGTCTAGCCGCTGCAATGCATACACCTTGCGTCGCTGATATGTCGATAACGTCACCACTCTCTACTTGATCAAGGAAGGAGCGCCTGATTTTAATAGGATATGAGTGGTGGACAGAGTACTCAATCGCTATTACATAGCTACTGCTAGATTAGGCATCTGCTCTGGGGTTAGAGTATCGAAAGCAGAACATAGAGTATTCCATATTGGGCATACTAGCTGAGACCAGCTATCATCATCATCATCATCCCTTCGTGAAGAGTGATGGAGACCATATATAAACTCCAGCGTTGGTGTTTCCCCGACAGATAGCGATACCTGATATACACAATGCCACCAGTAGTAGGATAGTTGAATATAACCTCCTCGCATAAGTCATCTAGACGTCCTTCCTCTCCTAGTGCATCAATGAAGTACGGTAATAAGGTATAACCCTCCGATAGAGCCTTGCATAACCTTATACTATCCATAGGGGAATCTACTACACTATCCATAACACCTCGAACCAGATCCATAATTGTAGTAGCCTTTGATGAACCTATCCAATGTATAACTAGACCATTCTATGAAAGGAAGATACTCACTGTGTTCTGTATCATCACCATCCTCCACAGTGGTGAGAGTAGTGGCCTTCCCTAGAGTTCCGAATACCTCCAACAAACATACCCATTCATCCACCTCCCGTACTGGTGGTAGACCCTCTAGGAGTAGGTCACCAAAGTTAGCCAATAGGAGCGGTAAGCTAGAATGACATGTTAATAATAGACGTTTGAATACGTTAACCATGAGTGGATACGATGAGGCATCATCATCACCTTCATCATCTGGAGTTGGAGTATTACCTAATACAGATGTCCATGATATAAGAAAGTAAAGGCCCTGTATTACCCTTATGGTATCTTGTCCATTGTAACATTGTCTGTAGTATTGATCCTGCCTTCGTATGAAAGGTAGTGCCAACACCTTTACATGCCTCAGTTATAACAATAGCAACACTATCACTCAACTGCGGGGACTTGAGTGATAGCTCGAGGACCACCTAAAGGGAATAGTGGTAGGAATACTAAGATAGTGATTCATAATATTCTTACCCCGAAGGAGCCCTGTGTCCTCTCTGAAGAAGTAATAGCACTCCTACGTAGAAGGTAGGCAAGACTCTCGCTAGCAAACTGCCGTATGTAACTGAGAGATGACTGTACAAGGGAGGGATGTGTTTGAGGATCTTTACGCTCTCTTATGGGATAATAACTGCTCATATTGCGATACAAAGGAGGCAAAAGTCGCAACGTCTGCCAATAGATATGATGAGAGGTATCTACTATTGGTGTGTAAGGCAGCAGGATTGGACGTATCAGTGCCTACTTGAATAGATATCCCATACATTGAAATATCCACTCCATAGCATCAGGATCCTCTAGTCTAGTCTCCAATAGCCACACTAATGTACCAAATATGGTATCCACAAAGTAGGGCATGAGCTCCCCTCTCGTATCACGGGCCAAGACCTTACACCATACATGAACACAATATGTAGTACTTACTATATTACCGGTAGCATGCCCAATAAAGGCTCTAATGCAAGGGATTTCTCCTTCCGGAGATGCCTTACGAATATGCTGCATATTTTGTCCAAGTGATGGAGTATATGAGGCATTGTGCGAACCTGAATGACCATCATTTAACACTACTACCGCTATGTAGATTAAACAACCTACCAAGGGTAGCAACTCCCTCAAGGCTGCATCGAAATCAGCTGTCCTGTTCTCCAAACGCCATCTACGGCATTCTTGTAGTAAATAGGATGTATGGAGTGACTCGTCGGACAGTGTGTCCAAGTACTCGTGATTATTAGTAACAGTGGCATTGATAGTTTTAATACGTTCAGCAAACCCAGCAAATACGTGTCGGTTCTGTTCCTTACGGTTAGTATTACCATTGATCTACCATAGCATGAATACACACGATAACACCACCACTTTCCCTGACCTTTCTTCGTTTAGCCTGAGTCCTCTGCAACTGTAGTTTGGTAGTGTCGGCCCCCACACTACGACGTTTGCCTGGAGGTGGCATGATGGACAGCAACTACTACACAAGCACTGATATATCCTAATGCATACTCTAGTTAATACATTCTGATATCTCCACATGCAAAGATCTTCGACTAATGGGAATCCCTCAAAAACAAGTCAAGGTCCGACGATTATATAGGTGCGTAAAGTTTTCCGGAGAGACGCGAAGTTGAAACGTTTGGTTTCGCGCAGAATCGTTTAATGAATTCTCGAATATTGGCCCGATTTGTCAGAGCTCCGTAGCATATTGCGGGTGTACTCGCTACATATTTTACCTGTATGTACTCAGATTTTAGTATTCGTACGTATTCACTCTATGGTGGAGGTAATGAATAATAATATGCTGTTGCCGCTACTACCCCCGATACCTCCTATTACTAGTTCTAAGGCTGGGACTAGTAGTATACTAGGATGCTGTGGATGGGTGGATGAACGTACATACAAGGCTTTTGCATCCTACAATAGGTAGTTATACTATTATCACCAATCGAATGTTAGTATTGTCAGGACTAAGAAGTGGTATGAATCTTATCATGGTACATTACCATCCATCACCGAGGAGATGTCTATTACTGATACCGTTCGAGATGAGGCCAATGACTCCCGTGTAGAGTCTCGTACGGCTGTCAGGTATGGGCCCTAATGATAAATAGAGTCGACGCCTCGTGTTTAGGGATCCTTTACAATCTACTCCTTCATTGACGCCTGACAGTGGAAGACCATCACAACGTCAGAAGCAATTTTTATTAAGCCCAATGACCGTTGCTGAGGTCTCCTGTCGAATACGTGAATGGAATACCTATGTGGCACATTGTAGATCAATACGACCGGATATAGTAAAGTCTTAGTATCATTCTGTAGTGGTAGTAAGAGCAGACACCAAGGTGTACACTAAGATATCTACCCAGTATCCGATTATGTCTGCCGCTCAAGGCTACTGTCGCTCCCCCTACTCCCAGTTCAATGGTCGTAGTTACAATGGCTATGACCACTACTACTACTACTACTACTACTACTGCAACTCCTTTCATTGTACCTTGTACTCTGTTGATAGCATACCTCGTCTATCCCTCGGTGTTTGACAATTTACCTTAGTTTTCTCCCCATGTCCCCTCCTCTATAGGAGATAAGTCACTGTAGACTATTCTGACCTTGATACCCGTATGCTGCTCCATTACTATCATTATCACTGCCTTACCTACTCCTGACGTTTGCTACTCGTACTGTTGCGTAGTAGTGAGGCGGTGGCTAACATTACCGGTCTTAATGATGTCTAGGATTTAATATAATTCTTCACATAGTTAATGCTCGTAGATCGTCCGACTCGATCAAGCGACTTCTGTTCTACCACGATAACTGTATGTAATGATGAGGGAATCATTACTACTCGCTGAATATTACTCGATCATCGCCACCTAGCTCAACGTGGTATCGGAAGCAGGGCACGAGAGGCGTACATCGATAATAAGTTGGCCCCAGACGAGTAGTGGAGGATAAATCCACCTCACCGAGAAGAGACACGCTAATGTGGCCCGTATCATATGATCATTATGAAACTATCTACTTTTGTGTCTGTTACCGGTTTCCTATTCAGTTATATTCCTTCCCGTTACAGTTTACAAAGCTGCTCCTTTTTTTCAAAATATCTTCACTCCATTTCCTCACATTTCATCATCATTACTTGCCCATGAACATGTGGAAGTGCAGCTGCTAGCTATTATTATATTCCCCGGGTGTTTTGTATTTATCAATATCTTGTGTGTTATTTGAGTTACAGTTAGCCAAATGTGGTACTCCTCTACTCCTGATCTGTGAGAATTCATCATCAGGAGGCTTGGACTGCTTGTCTCGTTGTTGTTATTATGATTGTCAGTTTTTCATTGCTAACTGAGCCTTAGGTTCGGCCCCTGAACCAACACCATGCACAGTAGCATTCCTACACTAATCGTATTGGTTGCTGTATGGTCATTGGTGTATTCAACCATTGGAGCGGCAACAGCTACTTCGGCAACAGGCCAGAAGCAACAACAGAACCAGCAGACCCATCTCAGAACTTTAGTTATCGTGGATGAGGGTGAAGAGGATAATGATAAGAGGATTTATTCCCAACTATATGCTGATCTTGAGGGTATACTAATCCTATGTACAACACGAGTATTCTGTTGAATAGATGCTGGTCATCATCTTACCTTCGCCGTTTATAACGACAGGGCCCTGAAACTGGATGATTACGGTGAATGGTTATACGACAACATCATAATCAACGCTAATAAGATCAATGGTAAGACCATTAGTACAGTAGGGCTTTGTAATGATACTTGCAGCCTTCCCTGTTATCGAGGATCGTGGTCGTAAATACAAGTCGGTGGATGATGAGAAGGTGATCATCAATCGAGATCTGTAGGAGTAGCTGTTCCTTATTTGCTTCAGAGAGAGGCTGCTAGTGCTGGTAAACCCCATAAGGGTATATCTATGTTTGATCTAGTCGACTTCGTGGATAAGGGTAACAGGAGTATTGTCATTAATGTTGGGAGGGATTTCAATGGGAATGGCTTGAGGAAGTAGGCATTAGCATCCCTCTCGGTGTGGTCACAATCATCATTTAGGCTAGTTAACGAATTCGGCTTTGATGTATACGATCAAGACTCGACCCTTGTTGACCACTTCCACTACGAGGGGAATGATCATACCACTGTATGATGCCTCTACTCACAGAATACTACCATCAGAGGCTTTATCGTTTGTCACTCTAGGTGTGGAGTCGAAACTTTGTCGCTCCCCGAGTGACGCATTTCAATCCTACTGCTGCTAGCAAGGACAAGGTCCTCTTCGGCAGAGGTGTTGGTCATTCCCTTTCACCGAGCAATGACCGCGTATTCCCGGTAATACGAACTATTATACGTCCATATGGCACCCTAATGTGTCTCCTTGCTATCATCAGGTCATTAAGTCGTCACCCAGTGCGTATTCTGAGGACGCTAATATGCAAATGATGAGAGAGGGTGCTGCAAACACTTTGAGTGGGCCGCGTCAGTGGATAGTGTCATTATGGTCAAGTCTTATCGGCATCAGGTGGTTTGAATCTGGTATCAGCCCTACAGGCCCGTAATGGGGCTCGTGTCCTTCTCGTTGGATCGAAGGATATGTGTGCTGATAAGATGTACTGTTGTGGTCAATGGTATGGCTCAACCTTGCTTGTGGCTTCAGATTTAACAAGAAGGGATACGACAATAGGAATGTGTGTAAGTCGATGTATACATGGGCATTCAATCAGCGACGTAAGCACACCTATGTATCACGCTTGCATCATCATCCTGCTTAGGTGTCATCCGTGCTGTAAATATGCGACACCATAAGGTTGGGGAGACCGAGGCGCCGTATATGTATACTGAGGGGGACGATATCAGTAAGACTATCATAGAGGATTATTGCAGTAGTAGTCATGATGTTACCTCATCAGCATTCGAGATTCAGTTGGAAGAGCTGACTATGAAGGGATGGGTTCCATATACAGCTCGTGATGTACGCTCAGCCAATCCTCATCACTATATCGTATGCTACGATACCATTATCAGATCCAACTCGAATACACTATGCTAGACCCTCATATTAGAGCCTTCCTGCTCCCTGATACATCCAATAACGGTTTACATACACTCACCTTCAAGGCCCCCGATGTTTATGGAATATTCAAGTTTGTGGTACTTGATAGTGATTGTTGCCTCCTTTTCGCTGGTACATTGGATCGGTTTCAGGTGAACTACAACAGACTTGGTTTGAATCCTCTCCATATAGAGGAAGTAGCACCATTAAGGAACTACAAGCACAATGACTACCCCAGATTCCTCTTCTGTGCATATCCTTACTACGCATCAGTAACATCATCATCAGGATGAGCACGTCATTCCGTATACTCAGGTTTTCGTCGCGGCGTTCGGCCTTTTTGTGATCGCCTTCTTGATGATGTAGTATTGTGAACTAAGGCATGCATGATTCGTCATTCAGTTACGATAAGGATACCTCGCCGCCAGGCCGTATTAACTCGCCTACTCGCAAACAGACAGGAGGAGGAGAGTCAAAGAAGACGAAATGAGAGCACACAGTGCTGTTGATGAGTTAGTTTTCTCAGTAGTGCTGCTTTTAGTCACGCTACACTATCACAGGTGTGTTTTGTTGGTTAACGTTTGAATAATACGAGTAAAGGTGTGCTGAATGGAGCCTGTTATCACACGGACTCATAGATGCTACTGCAACACTCCTCATTGCAGTACAGTCACTGTGTGCTCGTTCTATTTACAAGTCAACTAGTTGGTCTATAAGAAGTTGCAGGACTTATAATAGGATTTAGCTCATTGCGGATATGACGCCCCTATCATGTACAGGGGTGAGAACCAGTAACTCAACGGCCGCCCAGTATCATCTTAATGGGTGTTCGATAAGCATTGGGATTGGTAACGTTCCAATTCGAGACTCGGATGACGTGTTATATGCTCTTCTAGTTGGATAGATTAATATGTCAATCGGCGATTCACCCAAGATCCGTGACGTCACGATCGGCACGCTCACATTCTCATCCGATTTTGACTCGGGCAATACCTGTACTGTGGACTATGACACAGTATCCAACACGTAGAGCAATCCATACTTCAGGCCTTACCTCTCACAGATGAAAGTAGGTATAATATTTGGATAGCTCACGACTGTGATGGTACACAATACGAAAGCCCATTCAAAACGTGGTTCTATTTCTGTGGGTCTACAATATGGCATGTTTCATCGAATGCTTCCTCGTACTGCAGGTGTACGAGGATTAATTAAGGATCAGAAGATCACCCTGTCTATAAGTGAGTGAAACTATATGAGCTCATTTTATGTGAGTCATCCGAGGCCAATAACTGCTTAGGCTATCACCAATGCATTGGAGGGAAGAGTGTGTCCTCAGATAACATGGGCAAACAACGGAAGCTGTTCAATGTCCACAGACTACGCCCAGTAACACGAGTCCTCCCAGACGATCCACAATGGAAGAGGATTCAGGGCCGGCACCGACGCTGCTGTATTCTATCATGCAAGGGTCTTCCACTCTCTGCCCTCCAATTATTTGTGATGCTTCAACAACATCTCAGGACGAACTAAAAAGGATAGAACATATGAACTGAGATGGTCCTACAGGCATGAGTAACTTCATGGGAGGGTAGCTGATAAACACTTGATGTGATGATAGAGCTGAGGAGCCTAGTTCCCCTCTACTCGGCTCCGACAAGAGCATCCCCTACTGTTAGAGTCACCACCACCACCGCAGCCGTTTGAGCAGCTTATGGGACTGCGAGACTTTCTCCAGGCACACTCCAGAGTCCACTGTATATTTTGCTATGTGCTACCCTTTCGGTTACGAAGACCTGCAACTCTATCTTCAAGAGCTCGAGGATATATGTCGTGGTAGGCAACGAGCCATCGCGCCACATTTAGTGTGGCCTACTAAGTGTATCGGGTATGGGTTTATGCTCAGCACCCCGGAGACCATCTGCACCATTACCTAGTATCATCAACGGGATATCGCTCTCGTCGCCTCCCAGTAGTCCGTCAGAAATTCTACGTCTCGGCCACGATGTATGCTTCTCACGCGAGCTTCTCACAAGGAGCCTGCACGGACGTAAGAGGGTATAATCATACAGCATCATCACTTGATGACCGTCGTGTGGCACAACATACGATTTGGATAGCCGCCACAATGTAGGTAGAGTAGATGTCCTCACCATAACTTCAAGCTCCAATGAAATTGACAATCAACAAGGGCCTTCCTATCCCTCGACGAAGCCAGTGATATTGCTGACAGCTAGAGTCCATCCTGGAGAGACACCTGGACAGTTTGCTTTGCTTGGAGCACTCAATTTCGTAAGTGGCTAGATATCATTCATCACCCCTCCCTCGCTGTATGTTCATCATCCTGGACTCACCGTTATCCCAATTATCTGTTGTGAGGCCCTATCAGACGATCCTCGAGCAGTAGCGCTTCGATACCATTACGACTTGAAGTTCGTGCCAATGATAAACCCTGATGGAGTGTATATGGGCAATTACCGAACCAACAGTCGTGGCCTTAACTTGAATAGGTAAGCATATTCTCCACACTACTAGATAACTCCTATTAGGTTCTACCATAATCCCGGGCCTGAGCATGAAGCAGTGAGCTCCACGACGGGTTGTTGTAGCTCAATCGACTCACGATAGCCTGATCTAGGTTATGGCGATTGTTGACCTTGCACGAATCTATGCCAAGAGGGGTATGCTTGAACTATACGTCGATATGCATGGGCATGCCAATAAGACCGGATGCTTCCTGTAAGAAGAGATCTTCTATCAGCATTCCGATATGTGTAAGTCACGAACTTTCTAGGTTCGGCAATGCGTTGAAGTCTAGCCTTCACAATGCATGGAATATGGCTTTCGCGCGCCTCATGGCGATCAATTCACCATATTTCGACATAGATAAATGTGAAGGGAGCTTGGGGGCATTCCGGAACATTTTGTAGCAGGCGACTTCAGTGCGAAGAATATGTCAAGGAGGGATAAGCTCCCATCGCGAAGAGCCGCCGCAGAAGACCTCGGAGGTCAATCTTTCCCGATCAGCCCACGCCAACACGAGTAACGGGAATGAATCAGGTGTCGAGGGGCAAAGTGATGACCCAGTAGATGATAGGAAAGACAAGGAGGAGGAGGTCGATGGAACAGCAGTGTCGAAGGAAGGATGCAGTCGCGTGGCTATCCATAGGATGACAGGAATAGTCCACTCATATACTCTGGAGTGTAGCTATGCTCGCCCTGCTAGTGTATTGCACTATGCCACACTATCAGAAAGGATCGGTCCTCCTCAGAGTCGATCAATTCCTCCCATCAGGAATGCAGCTGAAGGGGTACACATCCACAATGGTGGATGCTTGACGAACAAGGCAGCAGTCGTGAATGGATTCGAACCACAACATTGGGCACAGAGTGGCGAGGCCCTGCTGGTCAGTGTATTCAACATAGTCAAGGCTGGCATCGCTAACATCAGCTAACTTGACACTCTACATCTAGCAGCTGCCCATTATCAGGTCTCGGCCCTCGACCTCTTCCAGCATAATTGTTGGACACGTGTTGTGAATACACCACACACAACAGTAGCCTGAAGCCACCTTTTTGCAGGCTGTCCCTAACGAGACAGGTAACCAACATCTTGCGTAGTCTGTTACCACGGAACGCTGATTATGATCAATTCAATGCCCAACCTATTGAGGGTAGTGGATATGCGCCGCAAACCGGCTAATATGTCGATGCTCAGTGTCGCCTGGGATAACACTCAAGCAACTCCCTTCATTCGAGGAGGTCGACTCGTACACAAAGCGGGGGTCTCCAAAGTGTTGTTGTTGTAAAAGTCTCAAATCTGCCACTTCGTACACGGAGCGAGTACGAGATAAACATCACCGATCGGAGAATTGGTCACCGTCAGACCACACCTATGCAGATCATCGAGGCAAAGGAGAGTATCGGATCTCTACAAGCAGGATGTCACATCAGGGGCAAGATATTAGACCCTTCTAGGCACACTCGGTGAGTCGTGGCAGTTGCTTAAGGGACTCCATTTTAACGGTTCGAGGAAAACGGCTCTTCGGAGGAGATACCCAATCTCGGAACCTCAACGGGTATGGATGGGAACGAGCAGCGCCAAGAACCTCAAAACCGATGAGGCGTCCGAAATACTCGATTTAACAGTTTCCAACAGTAGTTATGTTGTTGTGGCCCTCCCAAACCTGACTCTTACCGTCAGGTCGGAGTACAAAATGAATTCTCCATGTCTCGATGTATATTTGGATTCTCACTGTTAGCTGCGACGTTTGTTGCGTGGGCGAGTAATAACCCATAGAACCCAACAGCGCTCCCACAACATATTTCACATGTGTATACATTCCATCACTCATGTAGCTTACAATAGTTGTCGTTTGTTATGACCTTCGACTCGTGCACTCATCGGCTTAAGAGTTGTTCTACCGGGCAACTTCATCTCGTAGACCGTGCAACTCAGATTAGTGAATAGTCACTCAGACACGCAACATCATTCAGACTTGAGAAACAGGTATAACATCAGGCGAGAAATCACATATCCATCGCAACTGCGTTGTCACGTGATATATTCATCGGGTGGACCTCCGTTCTCCTTGAAAAGAGCAGACTTATCATTTTGCGAATCTTATTTTTCAAGGTCACAATTCTACATTTAATTAACTGCGACGATAACTTCGAGATCGTGGATCAAGTGTCATCGTATTTTCCGTTGTGATCGACTACCGTCAGTTCAAATGAATAGTTGTATACAACTCTACGATTGGTGCCTTCCAAACACCCCCTCAAAATCGCACCAGCGACATAAGTTCCCCTCTACAAGAATGAATACAGAAGTACTAGTAACAGACGCTAGTAGTAGCACGGCATCAACAGTGGTAAATACCCAGTAATACTTAACAACACAATACATCAAATCCGTTTCCAAGTCTCCTCCTAGTCCATCAAAGTGTCTCCTCCTCCTTATCAAGTGAGTGTAGTTGTGATGTGTTACACAACTATATTGCCGTCATCATCATCAACTTAGACGCGAGAGGGGTAGAGCATGACACGGACCATAGAGCCGTAGGCCTTAGGAGGGAGGTTCTTCTTGAAGTTGCAACGAACGGTGCCAGCGTTACCGTGAGCGCGCATAACCTTGCCCCACATGCACTGAAAGGAATATCGTAATGATATCAAAGCAAGTAGCTCCGCAAGTGGCGATCTTGAATTCCGAAGCCGTTACCGAAAACTGAACCACCCTGTGATTACTCGGAACTTGGAACCGTTCTTGACTGTATTAGTCTTGAAAACGTAGGCGATGCGCTTGCCGAGGTAGAAATCGACATCCTCAGTGCAGTGAACACCCTCGATCTTCACAAGAGCCTGGTTCATGTGAGTGTTGCACTAAAAGAAACAACATCAAAATTACTGTAATGACGATTCCAAAGAATGTGGACAGACATCCAAGTCGCACAAGTATCTCTACGAGTCTATATTACCTTGGAACGCTTGGGTCCCATGAGCACACCCTTGGAGTAAAGGCGTACGGGCTGCTTGGTGCGGCGGCCACCCTTTGCTTGGAAACGCTTCTCGGGCATTGTTGGAGACTCGATAGAACTCTACTGACACCACGCTACCAGGGCTGATCGATTGCCGGGCGAGCGAGATTTTGACGCAAAGTGATGTCGCCTTCATCATTAGTCCGTCAGCCCCTTTATGGAGGCCACAACTACTGAAACGCCTGACGGGGTGTTGGATGAGGAAGCGATAATGCATAGCATGAGCGATGTGATGGTGGGACAGATCATTAATCGTGTTGCCCACTCCCTTGAGTATACCACACCATATACCATCCTACACCATGAAACTGAGACACCCTGCAATACAACACTACTTGATGACGAGGACGATTACATCAAGGAGGGGAAGCCCAACCGAATGGCACTGGATGACTATCATCAGTACCATAGTATACCTGGCTATGATGGGATCACACAAAGGATTGGACAGCAGTCGAGTAGTACTGATCTCCTAACACATGAGGATACAATGAAGGAAAGAGCCATCAGGCCAAAGCATGGTGAGTTACACACTATGGTGAGGGCGACCTTAGCAATAGTGTCCCCTTAATCAGAGAGGAGTAACCACAACTCTGCTGCCATACGACACCATCGGCCACTACACTTGATGCATTCAAGGGAGTTAGGCGATACCGCATCGAATGGAGATACCAGAGGCTATAAAGATACCTTTGCATCGACGAAGATGTTAACTATAGCACGTATACGTGCATATCGACAGAGGGAAGCATCAAACCCTCCTCCAGGGTTTGATGACGGTTTCGAGTCGTCATGCAATCGTCCTGATCCAACAACAGAACGAAGGGTAGTAGTTATTGACGGAGTTACTGATCTATTTATAATGACACTAATCTCAGTTGGCTGCTGTCCGTAAAGCTAACCAATACATTAGCCGCGGGATACATCGAGAGCTAGCTATGAAGAGGAGGCATGCAACGAAACAAGAAAAGCAGGAGGAGACATGTGAGCACAGTAGTAGTATTATTATTAAGGATACATGATCAGCATCCTCATACGGTGGGAATGTGTAATGGTTGAGGTTGGTCCTCATAGGTAACGAGGTCAAAATACAGTACATGAGCCCAGCTGAGATAGCCAATAATAACAGGTAGTGGATGAGAGTATTGATGATGCATTGAATGTATCATATAGATACGTCAACCTTGCCCGAACTAAGATAGCAACTCTATCACGGCTTACCAAAAGCATACTCGATAACAATGGGAACTCTGATAGCGAGGATAACTCTACATATAAATGATGGAAGTATAATTCCACTACCAATCACGCATATTGATACTGAGTAATTGATGTTCTACATGGAGACTGTTGATGATCTGTTGAGTACTGATTGATCAATGATTACTGAAAACTGGTAGAAGATAGAAGGGAAATCCCATTAGTGGTGTGTACGTACCAAGATGAGTTGTTGGCTCACTTCCTCTCTAGCTTCACTGTCACTACTGTCGCCACCACACCTTGCATTCTCTGTGGTATGCTCATTTCCCTTTGATGTCAGGTTCCGCTAATCATCAGCGGCTCACCGCGGAGCTCTACTATCGCTCTTTCCTGTTCGGTGTTGCCATCGCTGCCGGTACCCTTTTGCCCACAGCATAATGAGCATCGAGGGTATAACATCACAGTAGTGGTCTAGTTGGACCATCGACTCATGATCCATCCCTAGCTATATACAGAACAAAAGTTGCAGAAAGCAAACGGATGGTGTAGATCTCCTATTAACCTCGAGCATCCACCACAAAGTAACGCACTGTCACATATAGCAGCGGAAGAGTCCAATACAGAGCTAGTTAGATGACTGCTGGTAGAGTCCTAACTCTCACATAGCTACTGTGTCGTGTTGGAGCCAAGCTCTATGGCCAGCCTGAATATCATCGGAACAAGCAGCGCCTCAAGCATACCGTGGCGAGGCCTCCCTTCCGTATCAGCACAATCTCGTATAGATGCTCGTGGCAGATATTCGAGCTATCGGTGGCAGTGGAAGAGCGATTATTGGTAGTGGAAAGAGGAGGGTTATTATGAAGAGTGATGCTATAAGGGACAGAGTATACAATATTTATAGCTCGTCCACATCTCTACACTTCTTCCCAATTGATGATACTAGTAACAAAAGACAGAGTTTTGTTGGCAGAAGCTCTCCTCCTCCGACGCTGGTGGCGAGACATTATCCACAGCAGAGATGTTGTTGATTGAATAGCAGTACTACTGCTATTCTTCAAGTCATTGCTACTGTTTACTCCTCCAATTGGTCAATCACACCAGACTCAGTCACGTAGATACCATCCAAGAACTTACGGATATCCTTGTGGCGTACGAGAGTCGATTGGTGGATGAGAGCGGCTGAAAAAAGGGAATAGGTATAGAGCTATCATCGACCGATGAACTCTGTGCTATTATGATTATTATTACCAGAGCGGGAGACAAGCTCCAAGTCGGCACCCTCAACAATGACCTCATCCTTAACATCATCGGATTTCCTCACGGAGACACCGGGCATCATGTCAACAGTACGTACAACCTTCTCACCCAAGAAGTTACGGATCTCGATAGTGGAACCGTTGTTGGTGATGTTGGAGTTGATAGGGAAATGTGCGTACACGAAACGGAGCTTGTACTGGTATCTCTGAGTAGATAATCGATAGTGAAAGGGGATCAGCAGTACACCACAGTTGTTCTTACCTGACGGACACCGGTGATCATGTTCTCGATATGAGAGCAAACAGTGCGGATGCAAGCCTTGTTCTTGGTAAGACCGAACCACATCTCGACAGTGATCTTCCTGCCATCCTCGACAAGCTTCATGTCAACAGGGATATGACGGAAAGTTCGCTCGAGCTTGCCGTACTTGCCCGAGACAACGATATGACGGGACTTAAGAGTCACCTTGACTGAAAAGAAGAAACCGGTACAGTGATTACAGAGGGCGACTACAACAGTAGAGGACTCACAAGTACTCCTATCATAATAATAACCAGAGCTCTCATACTACCCAGCCCATATTACCATCCTCAGGAATCTGAATGTCGATCTGAGAGTGGATAGTCTTCATGAGGCTTCTGTACCAACGCGGCTTCGGGCGCCTGATGGGGGATTTACGACATCTAATCGATCAGCTACGGGCGAGCGAGATTTACGCAGGCAAAAATTTTTCAGGTGCATCAAGATTGGGCTACGTTGATCAGTGGCAATATGTCGTCGAGCAATCTACTATGATCGTACCATGATGAGCACCAATCGGGAGTTGAGTTCAATGACGTCGACTTCAGTCATTGACTCAGCGACCCACTGACAATGAGTCTGAAGTAACGTTGGTATAAGTGCGATAGTAGAATCATGTCGTCAGGGCACGATATTATTGTTGAACATATATTTAATGGATATGATCTACTTGTCCATTAGATGCCTTCGAATTCCTTCCAATCGGACTAACACAACTCGATGGGACCCGAAAGTGAAGTCATTTCGATGATGATGGTGACACAAATTGCTACGATATGTTGTAGAGGGTCAACACAGGGAAGAAAGCGGCAGCGAAGAATCAAGAGGTATCCATAGTAGTGAGTCCCTACGACGGATCACGACCGCTTACTCTTGGACGATTTACCAGGAGATCGTGCCTTACTCGGTGATGACGCTGCATGATGTCGGCGGCTCACATTATCAGTGTTATCGGATACTCGACGATTTGTGACTTTACCGTTGCCACTATCATTATTATCATCGTGTTGATGATGCTTCACGGGTCGAGGCTCGGATACTGTTCCAAGCATACTCAAGGAACGAGATCTACGCATCCCACTAGGACGCCCAGGATAACATGGCATGAACGCTCGTGACCAAGCCTTCTTAGCTGAGCAACAACAACACGCAAACTTCATAGTAGGATTATTATTATGATAATAGGCTTCTTACCAAGACGGAAAGGACTGAGCACGACGTCACGCTTGCGCATCTTCACCTTACGAGTAACCAGAACCTATCGTATACACAGATCGCCGTACGATCAAGGATGTGACGCGAATACTAGGTGTAACACAATTCATCTACAACTAAATGGAAGCGTAGACGCCTTCTTGAAGACGTCAGACATGAGTTCGAGGATACAAGTGAAGGGATAAGCACCGTCACCATGGATACATTACCTTATCAGTCTTGCCATTGTCCCCTTTCTTGTCAATAACATCTACAACTTCCACAACCGATACAACCTCATTTGATGATGAGGAGGAGGAGCCACTACCATCCTCCCATCTGAAGTAGTAGTAGCATCCTCATCGAGAGAGTTGAAAAGAGCAGCATAACACACAAGCTAATTCTTACGAGTATGAGTGACAACTGACAAATTCCATACTATCAGTGGAACTTGACATACGCTTCGTCAGACTGAGTACTCCTGTTGACTCATCAGGCACGATATAATCTGCCCACACTGGGGAGAGGCATCTAATGGCAAATATAACGGTTATAGACGAAGGACTGACTTCTCCACCTGTGCGCTATAAGCACGTCCATAAAATAGTCATCTTCTTGATCCTTGATGATAACATGGATAGGTTGATGACCAGTGAACGTACACAAGGACGTACCTAATAGTAACGACTATATAGTTGACGATATGTTATACAACTCAATTACAATCCTTACCACTGACAACGGGTAGGTTGCGTAAATCCCAAGTCACAAAGTCTATGTACCTGATACAGACACACTCACGTGGTAGCCCTGTAGACTACAACGACAACGATGAGAATATCATTACATCGAATAATAGCAAAAAGTATAGATATGCTCGGTGTCAAACAAGTAGTCATGGGTCACTTTGCCTGAGATAAGAGGAGATTCCCGACGGTCTATTCATAGGAAATCATAGTTAGTACCTGTGAGGGCTTTGTCGGCAGTGATATCGGGAAGCTGATTAGGAGGTGTGTCCAAGTCCGATACAATACACTGAGTGAAACATGTCATCACGGTGTGGTGGATACAACAGGAGATGATCAGGGCTCACTGTATCGGCACTGACTAGAGGAAAGGTGAAAAAAGTATTCCTCGATGGATCAGAGTTGGGGTAGTTTGCTGAGGTGGAGCAATAATCAGATTACCATCACGAGACTCTGTTCTAGTACTCAACAACATAGTCCCTCTAGCAGCTGCCAAGCGTGTGGCGATTGATAGAACGAGACGTATCCCTGACATGGATATGCCATATACCATGTACCAACAGGCTATGTACACGTAAGTGATATTATTACCAGACTTCGCAACGAATCCCAGCTCGGGGAGAGGCTGTGTTGCCTCTATTCCAAAAAACAATGCCGAGCCTAACAATGGAATATAGAACTGAGCAACTGTTAGGTTAATCGGGTATTGGGCAAACACCGCCATCACTGCTACGACTTCCCCACTACTTGGCTTTATCTTGAACCGTCCTTGCCATCGGAGCTCCCAACGTCTAAGCAGGCGTATATGACAGCAAGTATAGGGGAGTTATGTTGCTCACCTCCGCTTCTTACCCATATACCCATAATAGGGGAAAGGACTATTTGGGTCAGGAGGACGATGTATCACAACCTAGCAGGATAACAACATGTTCTACATCACCTTAAGCAGCAACATGACACTACGATGCGTCCTTCAAATGCATCGCTGCTGATTGGAAAGCTCTCCGTAGCATCGATAGCTGAGACGACAGCCGAATAACCTCAACCCAAAGAGGATAGAAGTAAGGGGAGAAGGAGACGACGCAAGAGTAGGCATTTTGATGGTACTTACGGATCCGTGACTCCTGAGGAGGAAGTTCAGAAGGCTCTGTATCCCGTTTAGTAGACATGAGGTCATACCTGATACGTAGTCTCCGGGAAAGTGGCATGTTAGTGTGGTGCTTACATAGCTGCATAGGGAGTAAAGGCAGGATCTCCCTGTGGGAAGTTAGGCCGTGATGAATGTTGAGGGCAGCCAACAGATTGGAGTTGTGTGTCGGGGCTCGTGGCCTCACCCTCGGCAATAACGGCAGGGTCGGGAGGATGGTCAGCTGGGGGCTCTGGGGTCGATAAGGTAGGAGTTGACATTAGGACTCCTAGTGATAATGAAAGTTGACAACGACTTCAACTCAGAGCGCATGGAGGAGACATCAATACCAGAAGAAACATGGCCGATGAATAGCATCGATCTACGGCGATACAGCAAATAGTAAGAACATGTTGAGTACATTATGTCCAAACCTGCGAGACGGTGTACCACTGATACCCTCTATCCAGTCGAGGTGATCGACGTAAGAGTTTTGTCCCCCCCCCCCAACTCCAGGTAGGAGAAGGACTACCTTAGAGGCTTCTAGTCGGGGTAACGATACTAATGATGATGATGGAGGTAATGACTCACTTGACTCGAGTGGATGAAATGTCCATAAAGCAAGTACCGTGATGATCACGCATGACGATAGGCTGTGGGCCGATACGAGTAGACAAGTGCCTAGCACGAGGAGTTGTTGCATTGAACATACACTCACAATGCTACCGCGTATGGTTTGGAAGCTTGCGTAAGTCCCATGTGACAAAGTCTACAAACCTAGTAAGCACAGCATGGAAGAATGACATTAACTTGATCGAGAGCATCCTCGTCTCACATAGACCAGAAGGTGTACATATGTTTAGTATCGAACTTATGATCAGCTGCTGCCTGACCTGAAGCACCACAAAGCATATGTATCCCTCTATACCAAAGTATACATGCTCACCTGCTTTAAGATCATCATACACGGAAGTGAGAGACGACGGTGGTGAGATGCCTTATTACCAGGTGGGTTCAGGAACTTTCCACTGATCACGATGACAAAGTAAATAGGTGCTGACCTAATCAGGTATTAGGATGCGGTGGTTGCTGCTGGTGCTGCCGCTGCTGAAATAGCTCCCGACCCTCTGACAAACGACTCACATCATACCTGAACGACGAAGTCTGCATCACTGGGTGAGCATGTATAACTACACGCCGGCATGCTCATCGGAAGATCCATCCTCGGTAAAACTACCTCTTCAAGGATGCATACGAGTTGCTGCGAGGGAACTGTTCTGTTACGAGCCGTGATCGGATCACAGTGATCCTGAGGTCGTCTACGAATCTATAATTGAGTTGGAGCAGACACCGGCCGGATCGAGAGACTACAAGAGGCATTAGTTATCGCTATAGGTATGCTGCTATTTGCATAATGTCCTCGACGACCGTTGATCCCTTGATGAGCGGAAACAAAATCATAAAGCTGGGTCATAGAGTGGTGATCCACTTTATGAATCCTACTCCCTCAACCTGCCATGGCCGGTTCCATTCTATGCCATAAGGGGTAATGCTTTCCATCATAACGCACCCCACGGGGTTCCCATTGAGCAGCAATGATATCCTATTCTAGCCATATGTCTATAGAATTGTTGGTGATGATGTTCAAGGCATCATTGACAGTCGGATGATCTACACGAGCTGTTTATGTCTAGAAGTATCCCCCCTCTCCGTATCTCCACTTGGACGACCAACAATCCTAGTGGGATGACAGCCGCTCATTCGGGCTCGAACGTGTAGTTGGGTTGCATTACCACTGCTGAACGAAGCCGCCCAACTGTTCGGAATCAGCTCGAGCTGCGGCAATGATAGGCTTGAGGGTTGACAAGAATTCCTCCTGCATGCTCCCGACACTTAATGGAATGCCCCTATCATTGAACAAATGATGGAGCATACGGACCATGGGAATTGATAAAGCTGATCGTACAACTGCGGCAACTGAAGTTATGACTTTAATAACAGCTTCCAGGTGAACACAGGGCATACCCGATGCAATAGAGACCAATACTAATGAAAGACAATTTGAAAATCCGCTGTTCGGTGCTCCTGCGCTGATGTGAAATACTAAAGGCATCATGCCTTAGGCATGATAGCTTCAGACGACAGACCATTGTAATGGCTTCGTTATCATCGTCATGTGACAATGTCATCACGATGATCGTTTCATAAACCGTAGACTGCTCACCCCCTGCAACCAGGCCGAGGATATCAGTATGAATAATCGGTTAATCACAACTTCCCCCTGTGTACAGCTTCAGACGACGGTGGTATACCAATTCTATTTGCCACAAGCCAGGTAGTCGGCATACCGAGAAGGAATAACCCCCAACATATCCAGAACTGTATGACATATGATACTTTTAGTTCGGGGAGATCGATCATCCAAGCTATAGCTGCTCCTAGAGATTGGATCCCCTTGTAGAAACCAATATACTTCGCAGCTAATGTGGCGTTGTTGAACGATATAGCACCCATTATCCAGTAAGCATATGTTTGCACTATGGAATCACCAAATCCATAGAGGATAAGCACGATACACGGATACCAGTAGGCGCTTTGAGCGAGGTCTATCCTGTGAGCCTCGTCTATAATATTCTTGTAACGATCATATCCGCCTCTGTATCCATACTGGAGAAAGCAGCCAAAGCCGTAAACAATGTTGAACAATACAAATACAAACCAGAAGCCTGCGATACCGCGAACTCTAAGTGTCATCCTTGCGTTATCTAACAACAGACCACATGTCCATGCACCGACCATTTGGGATAGCCAATAAAGAGCCGAGTTCAGACCACGAGTTCTGACTGTGAATATTACACCATTAACACCATTGAATACGTAAGTATAGAAAAAGTTGGAGCCGAAAAAAAGAATTAATAGCATAAGCATGTTCTTATCAAGAATAACTGAGGCCGTATCAGCGAATTCTTGCCTGACTGTCTTCTGTGGAGCAATAACGGCACGAGTACCATCCTCCAGAATGACTTTCGATGGACTTCGTAGCAACACCAAGGCTGTTAGGGATCCCAGAATCATCACAGCTATGAAGACGAAGTAGGAAGCAGCACTGGCCGTATTAGACTCCGTGTCGAAGTTTATTGCAAGCTGTAGTATACCACCAACGAAACCACCCAAGTTGAAGATAACCCAGAATATTGCAATATAGTGTCCTTTACGATTCTGCGGAGCATAAGCCAATATAAGCGCACCTTGTGCGGTCCAAAGCCAACCCGCGCCCATTCCAAGAACAGCTCCAGCAAGGATAAATAGCCAACCAGTACCAACAATATGACCAGAGATGTATGCAGCTGCTGCATAGAAGGCGTAGGTTAAACCTCCAAGACTCATCAAGAGGCGTGGGCCAAACAAGTTGAAAAAGAAACCTCCAAAGTAGCCGAAGACAGCAAAGCAGGCATAGAGAGCGATGTTGGCGGGATCGTTAGCAGATGGATTCGCGTTACCAGCTCCACCTAAACCTTGTAAAGCGTTGAAGAATCCCGGACAACAGAAGCATACTAATCCCGCAATGAGCACTTGATTATACCCCCTATTTAGAATGGGAACATGCATACGAGTGCTACAACTGCTTTGCATCCTTTCCTTACTCGAGTCATTGATCTGGTTGGAGTTCTCAGAAGATTTGAATCCTGTTTCGAGAGCTACCATTAGGTAACGGAATATGTTACTGAAAAGAATCAACAACCCTGGTGACAATGGAGGCTAAGATGAGGAATAAAATGGATTATAATAAAACCATTACAATGTTCACTAATCGACACCACTCTGGTTAGTAGAATGGATCTCGTGATAATCGCAACTACAGGACATCCAACAATCCGCGTCATAGAATCGGTTATACTCATCAATCACGAATGCAGCGAGGAGGTAGACGGAGTATTCAGGGTTAACGTGACAAAAATGAGTGTATTGAATAGAGAGAATAACTCAATAAGACGATTTGACATTGTCCTTAGCCAAGCAACGAGAACTGCATAAGACACTTCTGACCGACAAACTGAATCGATGATACATCGAGTTTCGTGCGAGCTACAGATGTAATGGACATGCAGGTGGCGTTTCGAGAGCTCACCCTTCAGAGCTCAATCACACCACCCCTGCCGATACCTAGTTCCCGCTAGAATCCCGAATTAATTGAGACAGAGGTCTTTACAACTTCCTCCAACTCGTATTATCGATCATGAGCCACGAGCAAGCTACAGAAGCATAGCCACCACAGAAGGGAACGCCTGATCCACAGTAGGCTATCCCCATAGGTGAATCCTATGATCTATAGATAATGATAGTATACTAGCATCACTAACATGTGCTGCATATGCATGACTAGAGAATCGAACACTTCGAACAGATCCTTCCGAACTGTCTCACTTTCATCGATCCTAGTTCTGCCAACGGATCTTTGCAAGAGAACCGGATGGCGGATCTCGCGAGAGCAACAAATCCTCAATGTTACCGCAATACCTCGAATAAGGTGGTCAATATCCTTACATGATGGGAAAGACCCCTTGAGCAAGACGTAGTGCTCATGCTCATATTCTGGGCTATCGGCATCAACCAACGATGTTTCAGCAAGAACTCCTCCCCTCTCCCCCTTGGAGATGCCCTGAGTATTACCACCTATTCATATGCAACAGTACTACCCTCCAAGCAGCTTCATAACTTCAAAAACACTTGATAGGATACATTCGAAGTGGGTTCCTTCTTCTAGACTTCCAATGACATGAGCACTTTCTGCCTAGTAACAGGACACTCACCAAATAGATCAATTTATACATCCCTCACCATTCATGATGAGTACTATATCTCATCTTCTCCTGCCTCCTCCTCGTGAGGGAGGGTCGAGTCATCCACATCCTGGAGTGTATTGGCTACCTTCCCTGGACCATCCACACTGCAGTCTCCAACACAACTCTACGAACGGCCCCTGTTATCCTCTCCAGCCTGCAATGGTACTGCCATTTAGGTTATGATCAGGTCAAGTGATGACCATGATGATAGGCAGGACTAGATATACTAAAGTATGGCATGATTCAGCCCGAAGCATAGACACAACACCGAGAATGGACGTTGAAGCTTTGAAAACCGATCACGGCGTACCGCTAGTGTGACTACGTCTCCCACTCTCGGTACTATTGCCATTGACACTCTTAGTTGAGTCCTCTTCCTTGGAGAGGTCGACAACACCATCAGTTGGCAATACTACCTTTGCACCAAGACCTACGTGCCCTTCTCGACGCTCTGTGAAGATAGGTTGTTGGACTGAAGGACAGAGACAACATGAAAATAGCGCGAATGTGCATAACCATTCATCCAAATCCAACTTCAGATATTACCATGCTTGTCCTTATCAAAACCCATCCCCCTAAGCATAGCCATACCAAACTCTTCTATCGGGATTTCCCTAGCGTCTTTAGACTCGTCAAAGTCATTTGCATTTTCTCCCGTTTTCCGTCGTTTATTGACTTGGCATAGTATAGGCTCCACTGCATCCACCGCTTGTCCGAACTCCTCCGCACTGGTCAAATCAGATGCCCGTGCACGAGCATCACTGAAGAGTTCCCGAATGGCCTGGGCATCTTCCGAATCAGCGCCTTCAAGTTCGATGGGAGATGTCGAAGAGGAGGGCCTGATTGACAGCACGGTGAACATACCCAGCAAAAACAAATAATACTCATTAGATTCGGAAGGAGGGGTTGACCTTGCTCCTGGATTGATAGTAGTAGCCTCAATAGGGGCGTTTAGTATAGTATGCTTACCCTGCTTAGGCTCTAACCGATGCAGACCTAAAAGCAGTCATCACCATGTATGCTTAATACATCACCATTCGTCTTCTTACATGGTATTATGAATTCTTTATGCTCTGGAGCGGGTGCTTTATCTGTCTTCATCACACCAGATGCTGACATGCTAACAAGACGAGTCCCTGACAATATACCACATACAGTGAGGCCCTCGACCACGGAACATATTACTCTGCTCTGTCGTTGGTACAGGCTTATGCTTCGGATGCTTAGGAGTATTCTTAGGCCTTGCCTTGATAGAGAACGAGAGCTTCATCTTAACACGAGTAAGATACTATACAGAAGACTGCAGTAAGGGGTACTGAGACAATCCACTCAAGTAACCAATATTCTAAGAGACTGGAGAGAACACCTCATCATGGCTGACTAGGAAACGTCATAATTGTGGTATACACTATAGATGATCTAGAGTTCACCACACTCCGATACCGTAATTGGTAACTTCGGACGACTGTTTTCCCCAACCTGAGAACGATACATCGTAGAACCGCATGAAATAGTTAGAATAGGGAATGCTTGATACTACGATCTCTATCACCTGTGCATTCTCAATCTTCCTTACAGTCATCATGCTCTGTTGATCCAATACTTTCCCGAATACCACATGCTTACTGTCTAACCAGTCACA